GGAATGGAAAACAACGAGGAAAATTTCAGGGAAACATTATTCTCCAGAAAAGCGTGCGACGAGTATCTTAGATCGCGTTTCGAAAAACTTTTAGCAAATTTTGGAGATTGAATTAAATTTTCCAGAAAAAGCAACAAATATCGGAAAAGAAGAAGACTAGCCCTCGAAAATGAGCAAAAATAATTCGAACAACAGACAACCAATAAGAACACAGGAATTCGCCAAAGTATTACAATTACTCATTGCTCATTGCGAAACATATCATATTTCGTAATTAAAACTTAAAGTTTTAATTAACGGGTAACGGATAAACGGTTGTTTATCTTTTATTCGTTATTCGAAACTTTTATCCGGCTGAAAAGCTTGCCGGTTTCTGCGTCGGATCCACAATTATTATATCTTGGTGGAAATCGTGCCGTAATCAGGAATGATTACAATTAAAAGCGTCGCGATTCGAGGCGGGGGCGCGGGAATTTCGAAAATCCTTTTAATTCGTCAACGGTGCAAATATATAGAAAACGATTAATATCTTTTGAGGAAAATAGAATATTTGATGCGGATTCCGATTAAAAACGATTCGCCGTGTGTGAGGCGATCGATCTCGCGGCGAGAATTTTCCGAGAGGGAAACCGTGGATATTCGAGGTTCCTTTTGACGGAAACGCTGTTTGATATATGAAACGATTAACGGTTTAACTGAGCAATTATTTCCGGGGAAAAGCGCAATAACCGTCGTCCTTTCTGTAACCAGCAATCAAATTCGACGTTCGCAGTTGGTCGAATTGTTTCGAGTACGTTGCGAAAAATCGCGGACGATTCGACGCGCGAATTCGTCAATAACGTTTTCGACGATGCATTCTGCTAACGTTAATGCCATCCCCGTTTGCTTCTGGGGAATATTCGTCCGGAGGAGAAAACGCACCAAGATTATACTTCGCGAATTATTGCCTGACACGTCGTTTCGATGCTCCTCCCAGCCGAATAAAATTATTCCACCAAGATAATCGACTTGGGGGGTTGGAGAAATTAATTGGATCATTTCCTGGACTCGTGTAACAAATATTCCAACTCCATTATCGTTGAATTTTTTAAATAAATTTCATAAAATTCTCTGTCCAGAAATGTATTTCTTAAATGTGAGTCGAGGCGATAAAATGTAAAATATAAAATATTCTTTTGAACGCAGGGCTCAAAACGGGACGAAGAAATCTTGGGACGTTCTCTTAAAAATTTTCTTGGCTGCAAAATCCTTTTCTCGCGCGTCGCAAAGCAGACGAAAAAAAAAGAAGCATGACACGGGTAGAACACGTCTCGGTCGGTTAAAGGGTTAAGGAATAAATGATTCGCAACGAAAACGAAGCGGGCTTTTTGCGGCCGTAACAATGCCGCGGCACGAATTAATGTGCATTCGGTTGCTTCATTTTACTTGCATGCAAAATTCCATTGTTGTTCCGTAGAATAATTTTCAAGGAATTACGCGAACGCCGGGCCCGCCGGTGTACGCGAGTCGATAGAAACCAGGGGAACGAGTAACACACACAAAAAAAAAAAAAAAAAAGAAAAAAAAAAAAGGAAAAACGTAGAGAAGGGACGGAAAAAGAACTCGAAAAAAAAGCTAGCACGAAGTAGAGAAAGACTCGATTTATATTTCGCGAAATAAAATGTAAATTTGAAGGGAGAATCGCGCGGACGTGTTTCGTGCGGATTACAATTAAAGCTCGCGCTCGAAAAAGGAGAGCGCTTCTTTTTTTCGGTGTCAATTTGGAATCATTTTTACCGATCCGAGGATAAAGTTTTAACTCTTTCGCGGTTCCCTCGTTTGCGATTCTTTTATTGCCGCTTGAAAATCCCCCTCCATCCTCTCTCATTTTTATGTACGTGAATGTGAATTGGTGATTTTGTGGCTGTTGTAATTCGAGTTTAAGGGATCAAAGTTTCCCCCAGATTATTCAAAATCTTAAGTTTCGGGGGAGGATGTTCCATTAAACTCTAAATATAAAAAAATGCCTTGCAACAATTATTATACATATTTTGCAAATATTCCGCGGCAAGTATTTTGTTTTTGCAATTAGCAACACTTTCCTCTATGCTCGATTGAAACAAGGCACGGTTTATTTTTGGAAACTGTGAAATGTAAACTGTATCGGTGAAGACCCACGGATCCGGGTCAAAAATGTTTTAATTAAAACATTTGTTGTTCGCGTTGCTCGTTACGACCACCATAATTTACTATTTAATTCGTTCTAACAAAATGAACCGTTCGCGTCGTTACTTTTATTTGTGTACCGTGATACCATTTACTTATCCGGATCAGTATTTCCCGCAGCAGGGTGGGAGGATTAAATTTTTATCTGTAGACCATTTTGAGGCGAAGAAAAAACCGCGACACATCGTAGATTCAAAATACAACCAATTGCTTCGCCAAATTCGAAAACAAGGGTTAATTGGACTCTGATGGATCATTGTAGCCGGCGTGGCGTCGAATTTCGCCTTTTTGCCGGCGAAGAAAGCCAAGAGAGATCGGCATTGAAGTCTCCCGGCGACGTCCAAAGGAAATTACAAGGATAATGGAGGAGAATGCATTCTTTTGACGCGCGAATTGTTGCGCCAGCCGCGCGTTTTCGATTCGGTGGAACGGTGAAAATTCAAGCGCGGCTCCTTCGCGACGTGGAAAGTCGATTTTCGCGATACACGGCACGTTTTCTGGCGGCGTACGCGATATTTGTCGATAATAGCGACGACAAAAGCCCCGACTGAGCCGGGCGCTGATTTACGAGACTGAAGCGCAGAAACGACACGACGCTCTGTGTTTAAACGCCGATAACAAACGAACTAATAAACGGAACGGTAGCGATAAATTCACGCTGAAGATTTGGCCAGATTTATACACTGTTTAATAGCGACATCGGTATTTTTCCAAGTAAGCACTCTCCATCGATATGTTTATCGCTGCTAAAACCGTGGCCATCCTGCAGGACAACCAAGTATTAATCTAATAAATCCAGGATTTCGCGCGCGATATTCTACAAGCTGACCTACCTTAAGGTTGAAAGTATCGTAAGAATTTTCGATCCATTCCATCTAAGGCGAGAACGAGTTCGAAGTAGAAACGAATGACGGAAGTTTTCAACGGCTCGGAGGATTCATTGACTCGCGTGCTTATTTATATCCGAAGTGACGATACAGAACGCGTTAAAAAAAAAAAATGGCGTTTAGACGATGCATCGAACGAACGAGAAATGCATTCCCATCGACGGTGGAGCGTTAATTCGCTAGATGACACATCTTCATCGGCCTTCAAGTTCTTCCGCTCGTCTCTGTTTCACAGTAACCAGATTAACGTAAAATGAACAGGTGGGACACAGCTCCGAAAGCAAAATTACGATCAAACCGGTCGACAGGATACTGACGGAGGATGTGTCGCTTTATAAACGGCGTGTCGATAAATAAAATCACGATTGACAGAAATACCAGTCGTTCGACGGTGCTTTAAATACGTAGGCGTGAGAAGCGGTTCTTGAATCGCTGCTAAAGCCTGGTTCACACTTGAAATTGATCGCTCCTCGAACCGCGTCGATCGAGATCTACGGAATTTTGTAGAGATTTCGGGGGAAACGTTAGCAGCCGAGTCGGACAGAAATTTTCCATTCGTTTGCGTTGCACTCGTAAATTAGAATCCATCGACAGATTTTTCAAACCGAATCTAGTCCAGAGCAAACACTAGTTAACGAATTTAAAATTTTTATTCGTTGGTCGAATAAAATTTAGAAAAATGATTAGTTTAACCATCGAACGAACTAGAATTTTAAAACGAAACTTTGGGCGGGGATGGTCGTGATTGGTCCCTTTCTCCGGCTGAAACATCTCAGCAGAAATTATGAAAGTAAAATGGCGGGCATAAAATGATTCCTTCTTTGGTACTTGGAGGGTTGAACATTCGGATGGCGAAGATTCTGCTGTGTTTGGATAAAAGTCTGGCTGTCTCTGGTGTGTGACTAGCTTTAACGGGCGGCAAAAAAATCCCAGCGGCCAGAGAACGAGAGAGTAGCTTGTTCGTCGAGTGCTTCATTGACTTTCATGACAGATCTGCGCGTGGTAGCTGGCTCGAGCGTCGGAGCGGAAATACATATTTTATCGGCGCTATTCGGAAGCGCCGCTTAAGAATTCGATCGTCCAGTAAAGCTGGATTCACACTATCTGGAAACATGCTTCACGGTGGGTGGCAATGGTGTAAGAAAAAAAACAAACGGAGCCTGATTTTCTCGGTTACAAAAAGGGCAAAATTAAATTTACATCTCGATTAAAGAAAAATCTAAGAAAGACCTCCATGGAGTCGACTACCAATCTTTACCAATTGCTTGGAGTACAAAGGGTTAATAAGCAATATTATCTAAAATCTTGTAGAAAATTCCGCCAATAAATTCACACTATCTGGAAACATGCTTCACGGTGGGTGGCAATGGTGTAAGAAAAAAAACAAACGGAGCTTGATTTTCTCGGTTACAAAAAGGGCAAAATTAAATTTATATTTCGATTAAAGAAAAATCTAAGAAAGACCTCCATGGAGTCGACTACCAATCTTTACCAATTGCTTGGAGCGCAAAGGGTTAATAAGCATTATTAATTATCGAAAATCTTGTAGAAAATTTCGCCAATAATCGGTGTGAATGGAGCTTAATCCGATGATCTATATTCGGTGCCGTAACTCGGTGTGCACAGGTGTAGCGTGGGCTAATTTTGGGGTATAATGAACGATAATCGACGTGCCTTCGCGTGCCCTTATCACGACCCGTGAATTAACGCTATCGGGTCCTTAATTACGGACGTCCTTGATTCCCCCGTGTCCCTTGAACTCGGAACGTTTGTCAAGGTTGATCGTGTCCCGCGCGCGCAACCGGTTTCGTTCATTTTAATGGTCGATTCGCGGTGCTTCGGAAGTTTCGAATCCGATCGTTCGTTCGACCCTCTCATTAACGTCGACCTCTTGTTTCTGGTTTCCAGGTGGTTCTGTCGGCGTGCAGCACGTACTTCGACACGATTCTGTCCCAGTACGAGGAGAAGGACCCGATCGTCATAATGCGTGACGTGAAATTCTCGGATATCAAGGTCCTGGTCGAGTTCATGTACAAGGGAGAGATCAACATCGATCACGTGAGTGCCTTTTTACCCTGCAACGTTGCGTGTTCCGTGTCGTGCCGAGCAAAAACTACGGATATGTTGCTTAGGAAACGCGGGTTACTGGCTCGAACCGCTCGGGGACCATCAATTATACGCCGAGATCCAATCGGTAGCTACCAATTTTAAACTTGTCTCGCGCGTGAACCATCGGGTTTAGACTTGGACAAGTTAGACGTCAAGTTATACTCGTCTGAAACAGATCGGTATCACCCTTGTTACAATCTCTGCCTTTCGACTTTATTTCCCTGAAAAACCCCACTGGTCTGAGCACCCATTGAAACCCAAGAGCCTTGCGTTCCGAAATCGCCTACATTTCCTCGTGTTCCTAAAAACATCAAGAGCGGGGCGTGTACGTGGAACGGTCGCGTTCACAAAGTTGCTTCCCGGCGTGTTGGTTGGTCGCGTACAAAGAGACAGTTCGACGCTGTCTGAGAAACGTTGTTTCCCCGGGGCCAGGGCTCGAGTGGTGAAATTAAAACTGATTAAAGAAATAAAGCCACGGGGAACGCGCTCTTCCCCCGGTCCCTTTTCAGACTCGATAGACGACTTATTTACATCGTGGACATTATGAGGGCACTTGTGCCTTCCGTCGCGGGATGGAAAAAAAGTATCGCGGGGGAACGGGCGCGGGAACGCGGCTGGCCTCAATTTATTAATAATTGAAGACTCGTGCCTCTTCGAGCTTCGAACCTTGCCTTCAAAGCGACCCCGGACTCCCGTAGTTCCCATTAATCCCCCGGCAAAAATCGTCAGCGAAGATGCAATTTGTTTCACGGCCCGCGATACCAAACGGTTTCTTTCCTGCCGCTTGGTTGTCAGGAGAGGACCGCTTTGTCGGCGATGGAAACGATCCGCGGTGAAAATCGAACCTGCCGATAAACCACCGGACGATCGCTAATTAACGATCGAACCAAGTTGCAAAGTATTCCAAGACTTCCAAAGATGCCCGATACCCAGAAACAAAATAACAGAGCAAATATGCTTTTAACCCCGTCGCAGAATCTTCGTGGGAATCGGTATAATCCTCCACTTTTTGATCAAATGGCGAGTCTCGAGCTCATCTAGCAATAGTCAGTTTGGGACTGAATTCTGTTGGAATGCTTCAGTTTTGGTTTATCGGCTCTCTCTGTGCACGAGGCGAGAGTGAGTGAGAGTGACTGTATTTGCTTCGATATTGCATCCGCATAACTTGTAAATCGAACGTAAATTAAACGCAGTTGCGAAGATTATTGTGTCCGGTTAGTCTTCAGGCTCGATTTAGCAAGAAATCGCTTTTGCCCCGGATTATCATTTTTCGTTAATTACGGAGCTATGCACCGCGCACAGGTGTGGTTCTAGCCACGGACCAACGCCGACGGGGAAAGAAAAAGCCCTCGACAATCCGTATCGCTCATTCTTGCGTCGCGGGAAAAAAGATAAATTACGCTCGGCCAATGAGCACCGGTTAATTAACTAATAACGACCACATTCGATCGATAGCAACCGTTCGTGGGCGCGCAAAAACGATACGAAGCAGGTAATACGCGGGGAAAAACAGACTGTGTAAACTTAGGAACTAGTGCTCTCCCGTCGGAGAATTTCATCGGAGAATCCTGGTGCATTTTTGATGCTGGGAATTCCGTGTACGCTCGCAATAGCGAACCCGTATGTTAACGCTAACATATTTATCGTGGTATGCCGGGCTTCTCTTTGCTTTCGCGATTTTCTGCTTTGACATCCTCTTGCTTTCCTTTCTGCCTCGGCGGAAACATTTTTTTTATCGCGGGAAGAATTACAAGCACATTCGATTAAGCACATCGCCGCGGTTGTAGGCTAATTCCGGATCGAGAACCAGTTGATGGTCCGTATGGAAATCGTTTATTTCGAGTGTCTTCGACTTAAAACCAACGATATTGCATTCGTTTCGTTTGGTAACTATATTTTGGACTATGTCAGGCTAGCAACCATCGATATCAGACTTGTTTCGCTCAGGAATCCTCGGGTCTCGGCTTGCGTTTGTTCAGGCTCAGATTCCTATCGACCACGAGCTTGTTTCGTTCGGCAAGGGCCGGTAAATAAGCGAAAGATTCGTTTTTCGGAAAAAGTTAGCCGATTAATGGGTTGCAAGAGCGTGGGGAAGCGAGTATCCAGGCTGGAAAGAGGATCCCCTGTAGAAGAGCTCTTCCGGGATTTCTATTCGTGATCAGGCAGCTTGGATTCTCGCGGAGCTTTCTCCTCGGCCACGTTTCGTCCGCGAAAAATGCAACAAACGGTCGTCGTGCATCACGAAGCGAGCGCGCGCGGATCCGCTCGATCGCCGGAGCTTTGCGGGCTCGATCGGATTTGCGTGACGCGGGGGACCACCGTCGCTTTTTCCGCCGTCTCGGCGAGAAACGAAAGCGGCTGGGTTTCTGAAATACACATTATTCCCGGTCGCGCTGCCGGAGACGCTGACCCACATAAGCATTTTTCCAATTCCAGCCGCGGCCGATAGAAAGCCGCCTCGCCGTTCGTAGAAAGTTCCCATATTATTTAGCATTCTCTCGGTCGCGCCGGCATTATTGCGGTGAAAATTGGCAAATAATAATTGGACCTATTCCGCCAATCCAGCTGCCTCCTCCGCCATCCCTCCCTCACCGCCCCTCCACCCTTACTTCTACTCAATATCGACTTTTGCCTCATTATTCGCCGCCTACAGCGACGCACCGTGGTCTGAAATCGCGGAAAAGGCGGCCGGAATCGGGAAATTTTCACTCACGAATCGGCCGCCATTTTCTCGTAGTCTTACAGCCAATTCTATCAAACCAGTTATATTCGAAATTGCTCCACCCTTCTCTTTTCTTTTCCATAACAAATTTCTGTGACCTCCTAAGGCCAGAGAGAGAGAGTACGAAAAGTAAAAGTGAAAAATCGAAAAGAGACGCGTTCGATATTTTTCAATCCTGCATCCGGCTGAAAAATTTTATAAAAATCGGACCCGTTGCAGTCGTAAGAGGGGGGTGATGTTCCTGGTGGGTTCTATCGCTGGCTCGAAACAGGCCAACCCCGGAGACCAGAGTCCCGACTTCGGTGAGTTTTGCCCGCGCAAATTGAAGCCGCCAGGATTAATGGAATCACTAATTTTTACTATTCCCGCGTAATCGCTTTTTCCTCCAGCTTTTCCGTTCCTTCCACCGGACGGGGGAGAGAGAGGGGAGGGGGGCGAGAAATAATTAGATTTACCTGGCTTCGCCCCGACAGTCCGTGGAAATTTCTTACGATCTTTCTCCGTGGCACTGTCGAAGAAACGGTCGGTACGCTCGCCGGTTAAAATGGCGGGAGCTCGTGCCAGAAACGCTGAAACGACGCGTCCGTATATTATTCCATTTATGCTCGAACCACCGACTGGGTGGGGGGGGGCGGATATTGAAAGCAGCACGGTTAAATGTATTGCTGACTGGCTTGGTAACTCTTGCCAGAAGCAGTTAAACCACTCGGGCCAATGTCGGGCGAAAAAGAAGGAACTCTCGGTACTTACCTTGATTAGTCGGGAGGATGTGTCTACATCGTACGGCGGGTCACGGAAGTTTAGGATCCGACGTGGGCAACGTCGAAAAGAACGTACGGGACTTTAACCTTAATAACGTTTATTACACCGTCGGGGACAAAAAGATAAAACACCCTATTAATTTCACAACTTTTATACGACGGTACACTTAAACCGTATTTATCGTGTACGCGTCCCTTTTCAACTATTTTATATTCCGTTGAATTATCGCGGTAGCACTTGGCATATATTCAGGGAGAACGATGGGACAAGTATTTCAACGTTTTTAAATAGAATTTATTCCTTTCGCGCATCCATGGTTTGGAAGCGATTTATAATAAAAGTTTCTGTACTGTTTACAAAGTACGCGAAGCTTTCGTCGAATTGACACTCGTGAAAATAGTAAACGCCAGTAGACACGAGACCACCAATTTCTCTGGATGTACGTTCGTTTTTCCGATTAATTGCTTTTTCCATCTACCTGTTGCCCCCAAGAACGAGCAAATTCTGGCAGTTCTGGTCTCAGAAGCAAGACCTCCGTTTGTCTGGGTCTAGCCTCTGGGAGGGAAGCTCGATCTTTGAAGAGTTTCGGTTCCTTCTCGTGATCAAAGACGTCCGTTGATCCTTGCAGACGAGATTGTCGTCCCTGTTGAAAACCGCGGAGGATTTGCACATCAAGGGTCTGGCCGAAGTGAGCTGGCGCAGCGACTCCTCGCAGAACGACCTGAGCAACAGCGGGCACAGTCCCGGCGCGGCGCCTCCGGGCGTCGAGACGGTCCTCAGGGAAGGGGACGCCGACGAACCGCCGCCTCCGAAGCAGAGACGCAGAGGGCGTCCGCCCCTGGACGATCCACCCTCGGCCCACGACGTCTTCACACCGAAAATCACCTGCATCACCGGAAATGTACGTCTACTGTCACCTTCAGACCTCTTCGTGCCCGTTTAATTCATCCGCCAGCGAGCCCTGCAACAAAGGGCGCGTCTCTAGAAATTAAATCCCCCAACAACGACGACCGGGTTTAGCTCGAAACAAAGTTTTAAACGCTATCTCTGCGCGAAATGAAATTTAATTTTTTTTTACTCCCTCGAACCGTTCCGAAATGTATTTATATTTAAACCGACGATTGTTTCGACCTAAATCGTGTCTTCGCTAAAGAATTCTTGTCGCTATAAATATTCAGGAAAAGAAACTGTGCCAGATATTTTTGGGATCCCAAATAAGATCAAACCCGGGAAAACTTGCTCGGAAAGTTTCCTCGTAGAATCTCCCAGTCGCTTTTTATTCGGATTAAATATTAATTAATTCATGGCTGAATAAATAAACATGGAATAATTTCTTTTCTGAGAGATAAAGTAAACTGCACGCGACAGAGGGGCTCGGGGCTTAATATATTGCGGGGGGATGAAAGATCGGTCCTGAAAGGACTTTGTGGACGATTTTCGTCGCGAAACCTGGCAAAAATTACTCGACGCTGTTCGCAGAATCGATCTTTTTTTTTACCCTTGCGACTCTATATCGATCGCGATCTAACGTTTGCTGCTCTAACGCGTCTGTTCTAACCTTTTCGATTTCCCAGGAGGAAATGATGAGCGAGGGCGGCGACCACGAGAGCTGGGACGACGAAATGATGATCAACGAGAGTAACGAAACGCCACTGCCGGTTGTAAGAGACGCTTATATCAGTTCCAAATTAATTTATCGGCTCGTTCCGTGAGTCTTTGTGCTTTTTTTTTAAATAAACAACCATCGTAACTCACGATACAAACTAGTCCCGAGGAAAGAACCCTGCAATATGTCCGTACGTTGATAATAAAAAATTGAGGGCTAATTTATTGGAAGAATTTTGCGAGCAAAGACTTGGGAAACGACTCGATATACACAGGGCGTTTCCTTTACAGTTCAAGTTCCTTTAATCGCTAAACTAAATTATAAACGTGCTGCTAAGATCGAGGAACAACGAGGTCGCGACGTTCATTAATAAACATGAACTAAGATGCTCGGGACGATATAATTGTCCAGTAATTTTTATATCGAGTAATAATTGCACCGATTATTCTTTATTTTTAGAATCGTAGTTTACGAGGCTTCAGTAATCGTCTCGTTTTTAAAATAGAATAGCTTCATGATCACTCTGATCTTTTTCTGTACCTTCTTAATTATCAAAGGAAACACCCTTAACACGCAGTGATTTTAACGCCCGTTGTCGCTTGTTGCAGCTATCGTACATGTCCAAGGATGACAGCATATGCGATCAGGAAAAGAAAGGTACGTTGGTACTAATTACCAGGAGTAGTTAAACGAACGTTTTGGAGGAGATCAAGGGATAAAAATTGAATATGAATCGTCGTTTCTCGTTGCAGTGTTTTCCACGCCCTCGAATTCCAACGCCACGAATCCATCGATCCCCGAGCAATTCCGAGACGTCGTGAAGATGAACGATTACCTGACGACGGGACGCCGCCAAGAGTTCTGGGAGGAGCCGTTTACGCGGCGCGTTATGGACGCCATTAAAAGCAAAGAACTGGAAATGAAGACTGCCGCCGAGATACTTGGCGTGTCCTACGGAACCCTCTATGGCAGATATCGCGACAGTTATGGCTGCCTGAAACATCCGTATAGGTAAATGGAAGAACACTCTCGATCCGCCTTTGTCGCGACCGGTTGCTGCCTTCTATCGTGCTTTACGAGCGGATCTCTCGTACGCGAGACCAGCTCGTAACTTCCACATTGAGGAATCTTTCGAGACGCTTCAGCGCCAGGCATATTCATTTATTTCATTTGTAAACGTCTGCAAAACGATACGGCTCTCTTTAGATTCTGTTAGCGAGGTCCTACTGGTCTTAGAAATGCAATCTATGAACAGTGGTGGACCGTTTAGCTGGTCGTTCCGATAGAAAGGAGAGGTTAAAATCGACGCGTATGGTTCTGTTGATAGAGTAAGGGACTTCTGGTCGGAGCCAGGTCCGGCAGACGTGCTGGCAAAGCTCCGGAGGAAGGAGATCACGTTGTTCCGCGCGGCAGAGTTCCTGAACGTGACCGTCCATACGTTGGCGACCTATCTGTCGACGCTGCAGGGCCCGGACAGGATCTCCCTGGCCGGTGACCTGAGCGTCGCGTCCGGTCAGGTAGACGGGAACAACGAGACGCCGGAGAACAACGACTCGATGAACGACATCCTGCAGAAGATAAACGCGAACGCGGCCACCACGGGGACGCTGTCCTCGTCCACGTCCATAAAACGGGAGGGCGGCGGTTACATCGATGTGCCGACGGCGGTGCCGAAGGCGGCCACGTCCGTGCTGGAGAACAATCCGGACATCACGATCGTGAAGACGGAGAACGCGCCGCGCAAGCGGGAGTACGCGAAAGTATCGAACACGGAGAACAACAACGCGAAGCTGATGAGCGGCGGGGCGGTGAGCGAGGTGACGCAGCAACAATCGACGCAGCAGCAACAGCCGTTGCAGCAACCGTTGCAGCAACAGCAAAAGATCACCGACCAGCTGTCGTTAAACAACGACAACAGCAAACCCTAACTATTCAGGCCTTATCTGCAGCCGGCGAATCCCCGTGCACCGAGCGTTAGCTACAACAGGTCCGAGCTGTGCCCCCGCAGTTTCTACTCGAACGTGTTTACCCGCTTCCTCACGAATTTTCATTTGAAGTAGACGACAAAGGGGTGAACCGCGCGTCGTCCCGTTCGCGAACAAAGACCGTTCTCTCCATTCGTCGCTGCCTTCTCCTCCCAATCGTTGAAACGCTCCGCGCACGCCAGCAGAGAGTAGCTTTTAGACAATCTCGCGTGTACTGATCGTCCTCGTGGCACCTGGCCGTAGTTGCATCGAGGACGGGAGAGGTCTAATCACGAGCGGTAAAAAATAGATATCCCGGAGACGGATACGCGTCGAACGACCTTCGGCTTCTGCCCGATGCAACGCCGGCCGGTCGTAATATATATTTTCCGAGTATAGAGATACAGAAGAGAGTGTGTCCGAACCGGAGAGCGATTCCTTCGTAAATTTAGTACCTAGCGAAATATATACAATCTGTATGGTTATCCGTTACTTCAGAATTGGTTCGCTTCAAATCCAAGTCGTCTGGTAGCCCCGACCGAGCGTATTCGGGACACGTTTTTTGGCCTTCGGGAACAAGGAAATAAAGAGAGGGGGAGGGAGGGGGGAGGGGGGATGGGAACGGGGGTCAGAAACGAAAATAAAGGGAAACGAAACGTGTGTGACAAAGTTCAATCGAAGTTCCTTTTGAATAACGATGCGCGTGAAGGGTGTATCGCGAAAAGAATGCCTAGACTATTTTCTGCCGCATGTGTCTGTATGGTAGCACCTAAAGAGCGACAATATTATTCACCCGCAGCCCCCGTAGGTCCGTCGGAGCGTAGAGAGTCCCAGCCACCACGGAGCCATCCCTCGAACGAACAGAATCGTTTCTCGTGCAGCGATCGTCGCCGATTCCCAGCGAACGTTGCCACGCTTCCGCGAACTCGAGGAAGCCTTAACTAACCGTTAGAGTTCCGTAAGGGTACGCGTTCGCCGACGTAAAATTTCTTTCCGACCGTATCGGGATCGCGAGGATCGAGAAATCCTCGACGATCGCTTCCGACACACCGTCTGCAACCTCGAATAACGGTTACGAGTTCTATTTTCTTTTTTCCTCGCACAGTCTCTAGAGAGCGTTGGGCGCGATTACTCGAATCGAAATTCGATTTCGAGTTAATTTTTGTCGATCAATCGTCGAGGTGATCCAAAGTGATCTTTAATCTGTCGACCAAACCGTTTATTTAATCGACCAAAAACGAGCTGATTTATTATTGAACTGGAACGATAACATTCATTTGCCATTAACAGAGGGAAAACGGTCCGATACAAGTCGATCGAACAAATTTAGAATTATGATTATTTAATGCGACATCAGAGAAACGGATTAACGCGTCGACTGCCACGACAGTCTTATTTTATAGCGTTTCTAATGACAATAATATTATTGAAAACTTTACAGATATCAGGGTTTTATTTTGAGTATTTTACGGTTTGTTTCTTTTTACCGAAAACCACTGTGAAAGGGTTTAAGAGTCGCGAGTTTGCAATTCCGATAGCAGTCACCGTGTTAATCGAGTTCCAATTCGACTAATGTTCGATCGATCGATTATTGCCCAACGCTGGTCCCTGCCTATCGCTTCGTCCCTATTTGTTTTTTTTTTTTTGTTAGAATGGTATATGGAGTAGAATTTATCGCACATAGAGGAGAGGTACATTTTAGAGGCGACGTTTAGGTATCACGCGCGCGAGCCTTTTCTTTAATTTTTTTTTTATATATATATATATATATATATATGTGTGTGTGTGTTGTATGCTGTAGAGACTTTTAAGTGGCTTTTATTTAAGCGACGATTGCCGGATCGACGACGAAAGGTGATTTATCTCGAAGAAAAATTAATGATACACACGCGTATTAAACGTCCATTGTAAATAATCGGTGCAGTAGCGAGTCCTAAAAACTAATCTTTATATTATTTTGTCGCGTAGCGCGCGGGCAGCGCGCTCTTTTTAAAACGGAGGAACGACAGGTAAAGGGGAGAGGGTAGAGGGAGGGGGATAAGTACGCCTGGATTTTTATAGTGACCGTGCAATAACGTTTCGAGTCTTTCGCTCGTTAAAGGCGAAAAGAAAGTAGAACGAGAAAAACGCGACGAGAAGACGTCGAGAATAGATGAATCGATCGACGATATGCCTTTCGGTTGGTGCGCGCGCGCCATCTCGCGATTTCCCTTTTCTAAGTTCACTTCCGTATGTGTCGAGGGGCGGAGCGGGTGGGGGGGTGGCGTTGTTTTTCGTGGTCCGTACGAACGGCTGGACGCGAGAACGCGAGAGAACCCGAGAAACCGTCGTTTAAAAACCGTACTTCTCCGCGCGGGAGACTGGAAAACGAAACGAGTATTCCTGATCGCTGATGGTGGGTAAAACGAGGCCGAGCAAAGCAAAAGGGAGAGAAGAAAAAAAAAAAAAAGATGAAAACACTATGTAAGAACTAAATAGTATAGTAGATGTATTCTCGATATATGATATTTTTCGACGATAATAAGACTTTAGTTGCGTTTTGGGAGGACTCACGCGACGTGGAGGGTACTTGTAAAGTAATCCGAGGAGAATTCCGTGTGTAATAACTGTAAGAGCCGTGGAGAACGAAGGTGGAGAGACACAGACAGTGTGTTCCGTTGGATAATTACTTGGACATAACGAGGAGAGATGGAAACGAAAACAAAAACAAACAAAAAAAAAAAAAACAAACAAACAAAACAAAAACAAAAGCGGTACTGTGAAGTGTGTACATACAGAAAGTGTAGGTTTATATAGAACGGGTGGAATGCATGGGGAACGTGAGAACATTATACATATATAGATATATATATAGATATATATATCCCTTTTTCTCTAGAGAAAAATTCTAAAAATCGACTGACTACTAATTGATAAAGATGATGTTTAAATGATAGATCGCTCCGCGAGCCAGGAGGAATAGTGCGACGAGGAACAGAGTAGTATTTTCCGGAACGCGAGAAAGCTATTTTACGTTATTTTTTTTTTTTTCGTTCGTTTTATACTATACATATACATATATATATATATATATATATATTTTTTTTTCTCCAGTTTTTAGTGAACGTATCATTTATTTTTACCGTCGGACTCGAGTCGATGCGTAAAACGATCGAGGGCTTTTGATTACTTTACGAGTGCTCTGGACCCCGACCATTTTACCGCGTACAAGTATCATTTTATACGGTAGAACTTTTTTGCACCGGTTCGATGTTTTAATTCGTGAACTGTTGAAATACCATCGAGGATAGATCTGTTCATTTTATTTCGCTCATTAATTTAACTATCGTCGAATTTCATTGTGTCTCTCATTTCGAACCCTTGTACATTAAATGACTAGTAGTTTCTTTCTCTCTCTCGTTCATTATCATTATTATTATTATTATTATTATTATTATTATTATTATTATTATTATTATTATTCACCTTTTTTATGTAAAATAAGACTAAGACATACCAAATGAGAAATGTAAGGACAAGTTTTGTTAGGTTATAGTACTATATCGCATATCAAGAACGCAAGAATACATGCGCTGAAAGCACTCTGTATTGCCTATGCACGTCTCGGTGAAACTCAGTAATCGGGACGCCACAAGACCACTTTTACTCTAGCAAGAGTATACGACTAGAAGTATTAATATTTAATATTAATAATCAACGCGGATTGTCCAGAATGGATGGTCATGTTTTTGAGGATCAACGTCGAGCCACCGAACAAAGAAAGGAAAGAACTCGATTTTTAATTTCTCTAGACCATTTATACAACATACGCGTATATACATGTATCGTTTTCGTTTTTTCGTTTTTCTTTTTTTTTTTACTTATATATATATATATATATCTATAATTTTTATATCGGCCATTGATCCTTGGAATGATTCCTACTTTGCCGCCGTCCACACGGACACCAAACGAACCAAACGGTAGTCTTTTCCCTTACCCTTTTACGATGCCTCTCTCTTTTATCCAGAGACCACGGAATCATTTTTAAACGCGACCGTTCCTCGCGAGAGTACAAATTACACGGCCGCTCGTCGACCCTCTCGATAATAATTGCGTGCAGGCGAAACACGTTGACCGTTCAAGGCCATCCCCAAAAACCCCCCACCGTTTAGTCGCCAAGACGGGCAGAATTCTCGCGCGGATAAAAACATTTCAAATAACGAAACGAGTTTTTCCTTTCATTTTTATTCGACGCTCGATAAAAAATTCTGCCCGTCCTCGAACCGGAGATGGCTTCGAACCACCAAGGGTTGATCATCCGGACCGTTCAAGGTCTCCTGTCACGCGTAACGGGCAAAATTTTTGGAGTAACGAGATTTCAGATTTGTTGTTCGTTCGATAAAAATTACGATCGAGTTATAATCAGAAAATTCTGCCCTGAAGGGGGGGTGACCTTGAGCGGCCAAGAGGGTCGACGATTGCCCGTGGACGATTTAAACGAGACGTTTCTATCGTTTTCTTTCTTGCTTTCTCTTTATTTTTCTTTTTTTCTTTTTTGAGATAAAACTGAGAGACGACGCGCGCGCGCGCGTGCACGCGAGACCCGTACTACTCAAAGACTGATGGCCATTCATTATGGGAGGTTCTTGTAATAATCGTAATCTCACGCTGCGCGATCTTGCAGCCGAGGCAAGATCGCCGGAAGTACATCGACGTTGTACGAGAAGACAGGACAAGACTATATAGCCTATTATTGGCGAACGATGCCCGGGCCGCCGTGCGCATCGTACCATGAGACTAAATGAAAAAAAAAATCGATATCATAATTATGTGTCGTTTGATATAAACGAATAATTAATTATTAGTATGTATCATCGTTTTATACACAACCTAATTATATCTACGTACACTATGTACATTCCTAGTATACACTGTGACACACGTACACGAGAAACACACACGAACACACAGACACGTAAACACACACAGACACACACACACGCGTACATACATACGTTGCATTACACGCGCTCGTACGAATGAAACAAAATGAAAATAATAAAAAAACAACACGCATGGACCTATTGTATACGTGTACGCGCGCGTGTGCGTGCACGTACGCGCACGCAGAGACACATTATACACGTATAAATATATTTATAATAATTATATATAGCTATTCCAAAACGGACCACCGCGACATCGACATATACGAAAATCATATTAAATTAATGCAGAAGAAAAAAAAAAAAAATGAAACGGGAGATGGAAAAGTATGAGAAAATAATTCTCATCGACGATACGTGCGTAATTTAAAAAAGAAAAAAAGGCAAAAAAAAAAAGAAATAATAATCGTGGGTTGAATTAACAAGCGTTAAAAAGAAAAATTTCGTTGTCGAGGGGAGCAGCAGCAGCAGCAAGCAGCAAAGCAGCGCCGTTGCCCAGTGTCTCATGTATAACAAAAACGCAATCGAGTCCTCTGTCAATTTTTCCAATACACGGGAACTATCCTCTGTGTGTATGTATACGTATACAAAAGAAGACGAAGAGAAGTGGGGAGAAATGAAAAAAATAATAAAAAAAAAAAAAATAACGATTGTAATAAAAATTAAAAAAAAAAAAAAACGTAATAATAACGCGCATGTATAGCAAAAGAAGTTGTTACACTTGAGCACAATAGAGAGAGAACAAAGTATATGGAGTATAGTTTTACACGAAGGCTTTATCGCCCGTTTAGTTTTATACCTGAGACACGAAGAAAAGGCTGAAACGGTTAGACGATACAAGAGAAAAAAAAATAATAAAAAAAGAGAAACAGTTCGAACCCACTCCTTCATTCCTGTCACCTCTAATCTGTGTTCTCGTCCCTTCTGTCTTTCCGCCGTAAAATGGAATCGGATTTTTTCGTCTGTTCGCCACCACGCAAAACGCCACGATAAAAAAAAAAATGAAAAAAAAAAGAAGTAATACTTACGCGCGTTCACGTTGTATCCTTTTCGTACACGAGACTTCCTCTCTTTCTCTCTCTATCAATCTCTCTATCTCTCACGGCCCATCGTTCGTCTCTGTCGTGCAAAGACTTCTTTTGTACCGGTTTCGTTTCGTTTTCGGCCATTAACGGTACGTCGATCTGCACATTCGAAAAATCGTCGGTGAACGCGACGATGCCTGTCTCCGATCGTTCGAAGCAACGCGTCACGTTCACGACACGTCGCGGAACAATATTGTTTCTAATTAGCCAAAGTTTAGAATTTGTGTTTATTATCTAGTTCTTCCTTTTCTTCGCGATCCCCCGCCCACCCTTCCCCGATCCTCCCCTCCACGAACACAAATACACACAAGTACACACACACACACACACACACACAGACAGACACACGCGCTCCTCCACCCCAACGAGAGCCCCATTTTTCTTTTTCATTCTGTCATCTCTTTCACACTCATACCACACATGGACACAGGACATATATGTTTGACATATTATTATATTTACAATTATTTTAATTATAATTTTCCAGAAGTATATATTATCTTTAATAATCGTGGTAATTTTTAGACTAGAAGAACAATATATTAGCGGATAGAGATTAAAGTATACATACAACAAAATGAGCGAATATATATATATAAATATATATATATATTATATATATATATTGATAAAATATTGAGATCGTAATTAGAAATTGAGTCGAGTGCATACAATGCTGAAAGACGATAACGGTATTTACGTGTAAGAACGTTAACGAAAAAAAAAGAAAAAAAAAAACAAATGGTTCGAGCAGATGGAATAAAAGCGGACTTGACCAACGTCGTCAAGCTGCTCGCAGAGAATTCAATGATTGAACAAAAAGGAGATCAGTAAATGTAAATGTTTGTAAACAAATTATGAAACATTATTTGTTCAGTGCCTACATATTTACACAGTAACAATAAAGATGAAGATTAGTGAATATCATTGTGGCTCCTTTCATTCATCGTAGGGATCGTAAGATAGATCGTTTGACCTGTAAAATGATCCCAGAAAGATCGCTGAACGATTCGGTTAAGCATCCTGATATTTAATTTCATTAATTGTGGGATAAGTTGATTCAAATTAGCCGCTCTTGGCCGTGTTCGCGTGTTTACGGTTCCGAGGCCCAAGTAGAAGCTTCATCCCCACTACTGGCCCCTTGACGCGATGACGTCGATCTCTGCCGGCAGTCGAATTCAGTTGGATTTCGAAGCTTGTTCAATTCGGATCGGGACGTCCCCTTAAGTTCTCTATCGTTCTATGTCTGTCGATCGCATCGGCGTCTTTTCACTTTGACTCGTGCGTGCCATTGTGATCGACGTCTCTTTTCACGAGCACATTACGAAAATCATAGTTATCGACACAGTCGCGCGCTATGTACGTCTGGATCGTGCAACAACTCCCGATGCCACAGGTGTCGAACGTCTTTTACCCGTTCAACACCAGCTTAGAGGAAGAAATGAAAAGATTGTTCACCGATCTATCGATCGAAACTACGACTGAACCTCAACAGAATGGTAAGTTGTGTTACGATCGTTTCAAATACGAAATAGAATTCCCGTTTTGACACGTTGGGATAATTTCCTTTCGCGGACGTATTAGAAATTCAAGATTCTTTTATCCATTACGTTTCCGCGCCCAGTGTCATGCTAGGTAACGTAACATAATCGTTGTGCGTCGTAATTTCGCGGACGCTTTGTATGGTCGATTACAAAATTTAAGCTAGCTACGTTTTATACATTTTTGGTTTATGACTTTGCAAATTCTTTGCGTTATATTTCATTTTATTTTGTCGGATAATGAAATAAGTTACTTGCTTCAACCTGTCATCGACGATCGTTTGTTTCTGTAGAAATACATTATGACACATAGATTTTCCTTTGTTTTTTGTTCGTTCAGACGTGCAGCACGACATCTATCATTTCATAGCTTTCTGTTATCGGATATTACGTGCAGTAAATCGAGGATGTAATTACCGAAACTCGTAGGACGAAATCTACGACGATAAATTAATTTATATCGATATCGATAGACGACTGCTTCGATTTCAAACCTTGTGTTCCGGTCGTAATTCATCGTGCGTCATCGCGTTGCGATCCTATTGGCGGTACCTTCCACAGTTAGTAAACAATCGAATCGATAAGAGAAATTCTGTATTCTAAAACGTGCCGGTGGCACAAGCCACTGTCGACGATTCCTAGAACCGCTTTCGATCGAATTCGATCGAAGTATGTCAACTATGTTCGGCAAATATACTTTCCAGTATTTATCAATTCGTTGCGTTTGATAATCCACGAAAGTCCGTTAACCCTTAATATCAGAATCACAATAATCCTCCAAAGTTTGCCAACTTATATTTCGTCTATGTTTCATATGTAAATTCATTAATTGCACGAATAAATCTATAGATTTTAGACAACGCAAAAATGTGTATTGAAATTAACGAAACGAGAATATGTTTCGATATTGTGGTCGTGAAAATTCGCGTAACAAAATATTGTTGATCCGTATCGATGAATTCGCGGAAGAGCTCGGCTAAGTGAATTCCGAGAATATCGTGTCACTTACAGGTGTACTTGGTCGAAAGCAAAACAAAGATTAACCGAATGTCATTAATCTTTTTGCACTGTACGGACAAATTTTAAACGATATCCTGTTTACGATATTCGATATTTACTTTTTGGTTAAGCGTTGAACCCCTCTAATATGGTGGTTTCTGCGTCATCTTAAAAATAGGACGATACTGTTTACAAACTGTAACTCGATACAGCCGGCCGTTATTTTCTCGGTTTATACTTCATCGAAACCCTAGTCGACAGAAAGGCCAAACGAAAATAAATGATACGACGCGATAATTAGGCGGCGCGTATTTATTTATTTTGAAAAATATCAATATCGTAAGCGTCGATGTTTTTTAAGGACTGCCACAATATTCAAAGGTTAATTAGTTGGTAAATCGTTAACGTTACTCGATGGTTGTTGTAGTCGAGGATGTAATGGAAGAGTTCCGTCACAATGGCCGCGATTTCGAATACTGTCCAGACCTGGACAGCGACAAAGTACCAGAGACGACACCACGACGCAAAAAGAACAAGAAACCGTTGCCCACGGAATGTGTTTTCTGTAAAAACAACGGCGAGGAGGAGAATTATTACCGGCAACACTTACTGAAAGACGCAAATGGCCGCATCATATGTCCAGTCTTAAGGTAGGCAACATTGTAAATACATTTTAATTTTGTCCCTCTAGAATTAAAAGATTTGTACGTTCGAATGGAAAGCGGTAGAAAATAGTATTAATATTAAATAAAGCGGTATTCGATCGTTCGAAAAACGAGGCGTCGATTTTCTGGAAAATGCCAGGAATTTCGCCTGGCATTACTGGAAGTTGTGCCTCGCTTGAAACGCGTTAAGAACCGTGACGACCGTTTCGAGATAGTCCCTTGTAATTCACACCGTTTTTTCTTCGTTTGTCTCTTTAGAGCGTACACGTGTCCGATTTGTGGCGCGTGTGGCGATGCGGCCCACACCGTCAAGTACTGCCCCAAGAGCATGAAGAATGGAACCTCCTTAACGACGGTGAACGCATTCAAGCTTTTGAGAAACTCGATGGGCAAACGACGCACCAAGTAAAACGCACGGTGCAACGCTCGTTGCACGTGTCCCCTGTGACGTTATTGTTGTGCCATAAGCGACGTAAGGTTTTTTTTGTCGAGGGTTTTGACGTTCCGGGGTGGCCTCGAAATTCAACATCTTCGAACCGATATCATCTGCTGGCAGGTAATCGCGCCGTCGCACTCTTCGACGTAAGCAACGAACGAAAGTATAACGCGATTATAAACAACATATATATATATATAATATATATCCAAGAACAATTCGTTCGACAAAAGTTTACCGTTCGTTGATCGATCGATCGGTCGGATACGTATCGCGATGAAATTTATTTTACGTCTCTTAACGTGAAATACATTTTGCGTTACGCATCTTTGGAACACATTGTATAGATCACCGAGACTGCGACGCGAATTGGCAAGATACAAAGAGGACTAACCAAAGATCTTTACATAGTTTGTAGAAACTATTTATACTCTTACGTGCCATACTATATTCGGTGAAATTGTTTCGTTCGTTTCTTAACGAATAATAAGACCGCGTATTTCGTCGATACGAAGGAAATTAATTTCGTAAGCTGATAATATTGATAGCGTATGATATTAAATTCTTTTTTTTTTTTAATCGCGTGTGTTTACATTTACACGCATTGACACCGACGGAATTCGACCGCATTCGCGCGTACGAATTTGCGACATCTTTACTCGGATCGTATTTTTCTAAACAATTTTAGATGTTAATGCGCGAACGGAGATTCGACGAAAAGCAACGGAGCACTGTGATAACGCAAAACCAAGACAATCCTTTTCACCCCCAAAAAAACCGTGACACCGGACGTTGATCAAATCATGAATAACAAAACAACAATATATATTCTCGATCTTCACTTTTCTCCAAATTAATTGTGCCGTTTGGAAAGAGACATATCGACGATTTAGTTGCGTTGCAATTCGCCAAATTAAGTGCAAATATTATTCTCTTTCGCGAGACAATAAGACGATTCGAATTAGAATGACTTTTCTACGCGTCGTTGGAGAATGTAGTTCTCTTTTATTTATAATCAAGTTTACCGCCTAGATACAAAGACTGCGTTTGTAGTTTACGAAAGACGGGAGAGCTCGGAAGTTCCTTTTACGCGTTTTAAGACTAACGCGACGTGGACACATTTAATAAAAATAACAAACTTGATTGATAAAATGGATTTAAACTTGATTCGATAACTGTTGTCAGAGTACCAATTTTGCCCACCTTTGATACGCCAGTTTTGCAACACCTCGTTCGTTACATTTTTTCCACCGACTCGACTTTAAAATGTATTTCGTAAGCGAGGAAATAGTTACTAAATAAATTCCTGTGCCTTTGTACGACAGATACGAGAACCAGCTCTCTATCTCTAGATTCTCCGACACGTCGTTTTCGTGGAACTGCGCGAGCATGCAAAGCTTTCCGTTCCTGTGTGCCTGACCATAAGGTTCATTGAAGGTCGCCGACAGAGATACGAAAACCGTTGTGTGTTTACCTTCTTTTGTTCGCGATGCTCGGATGAACCTGATGGCCAGATCATCGCTGTTTCTCAGGCAGTGGCTTTTTTTGCTCGACGGTTCAGAGGACCCGACGCGCGCGCAAACTAAATCTAGATCAGTGGTTCTTAATTTTTAAGCACACAGTTAACATTTTTCAATCATCTCGAAGGATTTCTCTCCCAACAAAAATAAATAAGTAATCGATTCTTCGGTATAAATATATTTTATACACAATTTGTAACTTTTTTCCGTGAAGAATTTAATGATCGCCGAACGAGCTCGAGCAAACCAAAGCGGTGGTTTCTCTTGAAACGCGTTACTGTACGCTGCTTTCGAAATCTCGGGGTTTGTTGGTAATATCTTAAAATTACTTATGATTTCGATACTCAGTTATATTTATCGTATTGTATATTATTTAGCGCGTAAGGCTACGGAATAGGATAGTTTTAAGATGTTCGATTAAGCTAGAATGGAGAAGGGATCTCAGATAAGAGTACTTTAACGGTAGTTGATTAAATTTTCTACTCTTGAAAAGAACACTTTTTCGACCGTCCGACTTGATTGAACCGAAGGAATTTTACTACGAATAATTTTCCATTCGCTCTGACACCACCTCCATCGAGAAAGCATTGTATAATCGGTGACTGAGAAGTTGCACGATTGTTTTGCAAATGTACAGAGATTTATCATTGATCGGACGGTATTTAAAGTGTGAAATTTTAACCCTTGCCGCGAGGTCTGCCTGTGCACGCAGATCGCCTGCTCACACTCTGCACAGTGTGCGTTCCTCGAGTAAGAATTCCTCCGCAACCTATCCAGAATTTGTATTGTAACTTTTAATTGGAATTTATAAAGATTTCTATTGAATTAGTGATACAAGCTCCATACATTACTGTGTTTTATAACCAAAGTTCCTATTGAAATGATTGGTAGTTAAGTGTTAGGGTATGCGTTAGCAAATAAGGATGACAATTGCATATCGTATGGCAGTTTGTTCGACCGTATGGAAGAAGCAAAAAACGTTCAGACAACGAAACCAATCGATGGTTCATACTTTTTGGTTGTTCAGCCCTTTGCCATACCAACGACTTATCTTGTGCAAAGTAGAGTAACACTTTTATCGTATACGCGAGACTATTTTAGTATTTCCACATTAGTATCTAATAACATTGATTAAATTTAAGGTCGCAAAGGGTTACAAGTCGGTCTCGATCGTCTGACACGTTTCTAGATCTTAACGATAGACATTATTTATAGCGACGATAAGTATTATTATTCGTGGGAACTAAGAAAGAACCAAATTTTAGCGTAGGTCTGTTAACTGCAGTATTTGAAAGTATTAAGTTAACTGTTTTGTAAGCTACGAGTACGATAGAAGATAGAAACGAGACGTTCGCGTGTAATTTTTCATTTACACGCATCACGTCCAGAGAAAGTACAGTCTATCCTCCTATAACGCGGTTAATTTTAAATTATTAACACGTCAACGGGACTATTCGCTCAGAAATTTACAAATATTCATCTAAAAACAAAGTTGAACTGTTAACCTCGTACAAAATTTCGCGAAACATGTTAAATCGAAGTGATATTTTCGTAATACCGTTGTTATAAGAGGGTATCGAACTGAGAAAAGAGAACTCTCGTGGCTGCTGTGGGGCAGCTGACGCGTAGAGTCAAACGATTCGCAATAAAAGGCGAGATGACGTTACGGTAATCCGATGCCCAGCGTGGTTTACGATTAAGAGCGGGAAGTGATAACAGTAATGGCAGAACGAGAATCCTTAACGTTACAGAGGTAGCTAATACTTGGACGGTTATTACGCTGTGCATTCCATACATTCGTTCCATATTCATTTTGCACTACCGTTGATATATCCCTAACACTTTGTCGAGCTTGTTACACGAGAATTGTACAAATGTTAATTTCCCATTACACTACATCTAAATAGTATGTAATCGCCGTAATAGTTGAATGCGATTTTTTAATTTGATATATTGATGATAAGAATGATTGTTTATTTTGAATTTATGCGAATCGAACGCTCGTCCAGCGGGGTGTATATTTTTTTATTTTGTTTTCATTACTCGGTTCGCCTGATAATCTTTTATAATAACAATACCGCGCACGCTCGGAACATTCGTATTGTTACATTAAGTACAATTTTGCGTACTATCGTCATAATATATATATATATATATGTATACATATTTGTATTTCGTTAATTTTTCTTACGAAATTTACATTATATTATTATTATGTTATTATTATTGATGTGTTATTATTTAAGCGTACATAGTCCGATGATTGGTATCATGAATATTGATGTTTGAAAAAAATATATTGCAATTTAAACTACTCGTACCATCTATAACACTTCCCCCGATATTAGGCCAATCCATCGATGTCTCCAATAATCAGGACAACGGTTATAAATAAAACGAACTCGTTCGCCTCGACGCGATGCGAGAATAATCCAGTAATCCAGGTGTTTAATCGTCGCGAATTAATAGCACACGTAGCTCGCGAGTAAAATAGAAAACAAAAAAAAGAAACAAAGCAGATACGTTTTATAAGTAAGTCATTAAACATTGCGTGACTGGACGGTTTCATGGAAACTGTCCGCGTTTTGTACTTCGCACGCGTCGACGAGCACAAATAGTTACTTCGTACCTTTGCAACCGGTAGCAGCAATTTTCCTTCTGTTTTCTGAAGCATTTTGCGATGCATACTGCACTCTACGCGACCAATTTCGAATTTGTTGCAAAAAGAAAATCCTATTTAAATCTTCCCGAGATCGGTCCTATCGAAAGGAATTTTACAAAAATATTTTTTCGACGTGGTCTGTGGAGTCTGTTCGGTCATGCGCGTATGAATCGAATCGTCGCCTGTTCCGAGGTATTTTTATAGTAATACCTAAACCCTTTCCTGCCGTTTACTGGGTAAGTAGGTCGTTCATTGTATTCTCTTGCACGCTCGGTTAGCGACAACATTTTTAATAAACAAGTCTCGACGAAGAAACATATTGAAATTTTAATTGGACCAAACGTGGACGTTTATTGTCAACCACTTGATAATATTAATTCGATAAGTTTGAAGTTTCTGACGATCAAGTTAGCATCTAAATTAGGCGAGTGCAAGATCATCATCGATGATTGTAAGGTCATTAGCTTAATCGTTGCGTATCTCGGGGGGGGCCGCGGACGAACCGTGACGCGGGGCTATTGTCCGTAAAATTGAAAAACGGTCCATGCAACAAAGACAACCATTAGCCTCGTATCTGAATCTGGTAATTCCCGGTGTGTCAGGTAATACGCGAGGCGTCCAGTGTGTGCATAAAACGTCGAGCGGCGTTAAAAAGTCGTTCAATAGGGGACGAGCCGGTGAACGGAGAACAAGTCATGTCGCGGGTTCTCGCGTCGGCGTGCGTTATCTCGATCGTCCTAATGATTTCGGAAACTGTGTCGCTGGATCGATCCAGGGGGACGGTGAACAACAGGCTGGAGGGCTCGTTTCAATCGGCTCCCCTGTTCCTGTTCCACCTGCTCAAGCTGAAGCACAAGATTCAGAGAATAGAGAACGTTCCGACCAGCCCGCCGACCGCGGATTGCGTTTGCATACCTCACTACCTGTGTGACGTTAACGGTACCGTCACCCCGGATAAAGTTGGAACGATCGATATTCGGTGAGTGTCTACCGATGCGGACAAGTTTGGTCACGATTTATCGGACAAGCTAGGAATTCAACCCTGGCGCGCGAAATAGTTCATTTGGGGGGGGAAGGGTCGATTCTAATTGCACACTTGACAATTGCAGTTCCCACGTATTGTAGAGCATCTAACAATTAGGGTTACGGTTTTTTTTTAATGGCGGTCACTCGAGTTTGACGGGTAGAACCAACCCTTTGTTATTACAGAAGTTAACCTTCGGTGAACTTTGTTCCAGATACCGAAGATGTACAGGTGACTTGGAGGTCTGCTGTCGTTTGGTGAACTCCACTACAACCACAACTACGACTACGACTACAAAGGCGCCTACGACTGCGACAACGAAGGCGCCTACGACTGCGACAACGAAGGCGCCTACGACTGCGACAACGAAGGCACCTACGACGATGACAACGACGAAAGCCCCCATCACGACCTCGACTACAACCACCCTTGGTCCAGTGGTGTTCCCGAGCACAGAGTCCCCGAATTCTCAAGTCTGTGTCTGCGTGCTGGAATCTCAATGCGATCCTTCGGGAATAATTGGTTCCTCGGGGGAGGGGGTGATAAATCCCCGTATACAATTCGTCCAGTGTCCCAACAGTAATCAGGTCTGCTGTCTGCCGTCCAGCGTGATCCGTTCTCCGACCACCACCAGCCCCCCGCCGGTCGTTCCCCCGCGAATCTGTTATCTTTGCGGGGGTGTGATCCAGTGCAATAACGGGATCGTGGTCCCTGTGAATCCTGTGGTGACCTACAGCCAGCCCTCGTGCCCTGTGCCCACCACCTGCTGTCAGGGGATAAACCCCATATACGGAAACGGGATTCCAGTGGTGTTGCCCAACACCCCCCAACAGGGCTGTTATTGCGTGAAGAGCTGGCTGTGCCCCACGGGGAACTCGATCACCTGGGGCCAAACCGGCGCCATTGACCCCAGGTCAGTATATGCTGGGCCCCAATACGTTTATTAACTCTTTATAGACAGGCATTTGACATTTATATTATCCAGTCTATGTTTTCCTTTTCCTAATAATAATATTAACATATATAGAATCGAAGAAAAAGGAAAGAGCTACGGGGATTCAAACCCACGATCTTCGGAGATTGCTGACCAGCTGTTTTACTGCAGTTCATGTGTCAGAGGTCTCATATATATTTATTTTTTATATTCCAGAGTCCCTGCAAACGTCGTAGCATGTTTCGTGCATTTCTACCAGAATGCAAAAGAGTTTCTCGCGACAATAGGAACGACAGAACAGAGAATCATAGAAAAGACGTTGTTATAAGGACGCGTTTATTGGGTGGGTGTACCGTTGGACGAAAACCGTGCCTTTCTCGGGCATTGTTTCGCCAGATGCGAGGCTCTCGACACCGAGTGTGTGGAAGTTCACGTTCTTCCGCATCTGGCAAACTTTCGCTTTAATCGTAAATCAGTGTAGAGGCTTTGTCGAACGCGCGCGCTTCTTTTGGTCAGGCGTCGAAAGGGCCCACACTGCCCCGCTGTTTTAGAATATCCTTCCGCAGGGGAATATAAAAATATATGATTCCGTTTAAAGCTCTCGAGTGGGTCACCCCTGTGCACATTGTTTAGGCAATGCAACGCCAGACTGCTCGCCTCTAAACACTCAAAGACTCTCGATACCTACTCGACCTCGAGACACCAGCGACCGCCCGTGAGGGTGCATGGCTTTCGTCCAAGTCCCATTCAGTCCTCGAGCCAGCCATAAATTCTAAAAAGCTAAATATCTGCCTTCAGAACGTTTCTATAGCACGTTGACATCCACAATGAGTGGTTGGTTTGAAAACTGACAAAATTCTTTTCGAGACCACTGGTTATTGAACATTGCCCAGAGATATTCTAGCGTTGATTATTGCTGAGAACAGTGCTTCTAAAGGATTCGAATGTTTTAAGTGTTGAACTTTGTCCCAGGCTTTCATTGTGTTCCTCCGCGGACGAGGTTTGCTGTCTGACCACCGCCATTGGCGCGCAGACGGGTCGCGAATTGCAGGACGAAGCGAGGGAGAACATAATAAACGGGGAAGCCTCGTTCTCGCAGGTCGGATGTGGCCTTCAGGACGACTCGTACGCACCAGGTTGGTAGTGAACTTTAAAGAAAATAAATACCGTGATGCACGGGTGAATTTCCACGATCTATCCCCATCATTCAAGATGGTCGAGACGACCATGCAACCTGATCTAGACTCGAATAACGCAGAAACTTTTTTTAATCGTAAAAATCAAAATCAAAACTGAACTTGCAACGTTTCGCTCGATTTCCACAGCACAACCATACCCTACGAACAGTGGGAGGACCTATTTTGCAGAGTTCCCGTGGATGGTTGCTCTCCTGACGCTGCAGCCGGATGGAAAGTACATGTTCCAGTGCGGTGGATCATTGATCACCGATAAAGCCGTCCTTACAGCGGCGCATTGTGTCGCTAAGTACGTTCTATCGTGGATTTGCTAGAAATCTAATCTCAAGATTATCGAAATTATTGAAATTATGAAAATCTTTCGCCAGGCTCGAAAACAGCAGACTGGTGGCGCGTATCGGTCAGTTCGACTTGGAAAAACAACCGAGTGGTCAGCCAGTCCCCTATCAAGAGGTGAACGTGAAGACTGCGGTGACCCATCCGTCGTTTTACAGCGCTGGTCTGTTCCACGACATTGCTGTGCTTATTCTGGGCAAACCGGTCAATCGAACCATAAATGCCAGGTCCATTTGTATACCTCGACAAGGATCCATTTTCCCTGCTGGGACTGAGTGTATTGGTACAGGATGGGGCAAGAATTCGTTTGGTGAGTTCACCGTGAGATGAATTACTTTCGTATAAATGTATAATATTATTTTACAAATTTTTGTATCCCATATGCAGGTGGTTCGTACCAAACCGAGTTAAGAAAGGTGGAGGTCCCCATAGTCGACAGGACGGATTGCCAAAGTCGACTCAGGGCCACGAAATTGGGCCCATATTTCCAGTTGCACAGCTCGTTTATGTGCGCAGGCGGCGAAATAAACCGGGACACGTGTCGCGGGGATGGTGGAGGACCTTTGATTTGTCCAACGGCCACGGGACAATATTTTCAGGTAATTTCGGTGGCTGTAAACTAATTTAACCATCCGTGTTCCCTATTCCAGGGAACAGAAATCATTGTGCTCCTTGCAAGGTAAATTTAACCCAGTCCCAAAGATTACTTTATTCGATGGAACGAAAGGGAGGAAGTTTATTTACAAAAATAATTCTTCGAATTTATCTGTTGCGTTTATGGACCAGTATAAAAGGATTGCAGTAACTTTATCTCGTATCGAAGTCGATTAATTTTCTCCTGACGTTCTTCTATGGAAGTAAACTAATTTTTCACGCGTTATCATGGATTGTTTTCTTTTAGGCTGGCATAGTATCTTGGGGGATCGGTTGCGGGTCTTCGAACGTGCCCGCTGTTTATACAAACGTCGCCCAATATACACAGTGGATCAATCAGCAACTAGTTACTTACGGAACGTAAAAATACGTTCTTTATATTCCAGTCAGATCTCCAGTTAGTTGAATACAATAAATTATTTTTCTTAGATTTGTCGTGAATTATAAGAATGTACATTCTATTCGCAAGCGTGAGAAAATGTGTTCATTTGTTGAATTTTTTCCTAGAGAACTATAAGCGCGAATAGTTTGAAATTTGTTAATAATATTGTAAACTATGTTTCCTACACCTTTGGCATTTTTTAATGTTCACGACACGAATACAGTGAGAAGTTACATCAACGATAATGTCTAGTTGATACTAGAACAAACATGGTTAAAAATGCTAGTAAATAAATAGATTTTTATTAATACAAAAAGTGTATTGTTTTTCCATGTACCTGCAATCATTTTCAAGGTAGCATTAGATGTTGAAATGTTAAAGAACAGCGTCTAAAGAAATTTGTCTTTTTCTCTTTGAAACTCGGCAACGCACACATTTCGTGTTTAGTTTTTTATTCCGTGCATGCTGAGGGTTTAAAAATAGTTTGTCTTGCGTCATTGCATACGTAATTGATTAGATAAATAAATTGCGCGTAACGCGTATCGATCCTGACGCGACTAGTGAATGGAAAGTTGGCCTCGTGGTTCAATTCTTCCAGTAGCCGTGATCGTCTAGTGGTAAGGACCCTACGTTGTGGCCGTAGTAACCCAGGTTCGAATCCTGGTCACGGCAATGTGCACAAAGATCACATTGTCACGGTGGAAGTTTATTTTTTTCCCCATAATAATACATATTTCATTTATATTTATTATTATACGCGATCATATGGAATATTTTTTTTTGCTATATGCATGGTATTCACCGATAACCGACGTAACAAGCTTTGTTAAAAAGTAAATTTAAAAAGTAAGTTTCATTACTAGCAATTAAATACAATTTTATTTTATTAAATAATGCATTCCAAAAATCACAGAAATTATAGTTTATAAGCATAGAGAATGTTTGAAAAATGATTCCAAAAGGCATGGCTTCTATTCATACTTGAAACAATGATTTAAGTTTGCTCTGGAGGTCAGCCAAAAGTTTCCCCGGTTAGGGAAAGGGACAGGAGGGCTGTGACAAGGTAAAGTTCGTGAAATATCGGTCTGTAGTATTTTTATCGACAATAAATACATCACGGACAGCCTTGCTTCATTCCGCCGGAAATATGGACGGGACAAAAAGTTTTATTGCGCAAGGAAATTAGAGTCCCTTCCGTTTTAAGGGGGATTCCCGCCCGGAAGTCGATTAAGTAGGTCACTACCACAATCCTTTTTTTTTTAAGAAGAGTTTAAGGATTGCAAACTCGATTCACATTTAAACGCATTGTATCTGAATTTTTTTAACAAGTTAAAAGTCTTTGTTATTTCTCGTACGTGGAAAAGGAATATTAAATTTTAAAAAATGACCCGTCTCGAGATAAACAATGTTATCTAGAATATTCAAGCTAAAGTTACAAGTGCTGGAACAATTATTTACCCAGTCCTACTGTCAGCCATGTTGGAAAATGTGATTCAAGTGTTCATTTTTAGTTTAAAGGTATAAATAAATTGATTATGTACATCTGACAGTTTATACGAGAGTCCAAACATTGTTTGCCACTGTCAACAGAGGTCAAAGATCGAACTAATCCACTTATCGCCAAATTTCACTCTAACCAGATAATCGCGGAGCATTGTGTGGTCTAAACAGGGCCGTGCCCGTTTCTTTCAAAACTTGGTTCATGTTTCACAACTCCTTCAATTGACGACATTGGTCAAAAATGGGATTTGGTAGCTTCCACGCATGCTTCCAGGAAATCTGTATCGAAGCCACGGCCGAGGCGTGCACGGGGAATAACCACCTTTCTTGCGTCAGTAAGATCGAAGGTGTTCGTTTAACACTTCGATAATGGCTGACAAGTGATATCAATTGAAGCATGAGATCGTCAAGGATAGAAACGACCAAGTTATTCCATAGAAAAATATGTTTCTAAATTTCCAACATTGCTTCGAACCTTTCAACGAACTTTCTCGTCCATTTTTAGTCACACGTTCGGTATGAGCACCCGATTTCCTGAAAAACTTTGAAAACTTTGGAATTCCGTGGAAAGCCCAGACTCCGCACGAGACACAAAGAGATGTCGGAGGTGGATTAAGGGACTTGATGCGTGGATGCGTTTACGGCGATGAGGAGGAATCAAGAAACCGCAAAGATCTGGTGGGGGGGCCATTCTCATAAACGCTCCTGTGTGTGTGTGTATGAGAGAACATAATCGCGGATCCAGTGACCAGCGCGTCGCAATCGCGAGTTGTTCCTTGGCGAGAGAACTCGTTTCATATTTGGGATCAGTTCACGGTGAGTGGCACAAGTCTTTTCATATTTTTGTGGACTCGATTGTTAGGACCTGCATAGTTCGTGGAACGAGAAAAATATAAAATATTCGTTGGACTTCTCGATCTTCTAAAAGATGTCATAGTGACTTCTAAATGCAAAGTTTCGTTTCGTATTGTCGACCAATTGTATCTTGAGACGTAACTGGTTGCTTCTGACAATTTTCTCTTCATATTTATCGCGGTTAAAATTAAAAATAAATAAAATCTACCAATTGTACGAGATATTACTGTCAAGCTATAGTCTTTCAGTAACTGTGCTTGTTAATGATTTCACCCCGACTTTGGTTCGTTACTTTGTGATCTCGTTTCCTTTATTAAAGCGCCTCGAGTCGGTGCATTGTTTGCCTCCATGTAAGTCGACGGTGCTGGTTTGCGTTACAGTGATTCGCGTGTTCGTAAATTATAGTTTCGTAAACAGTTCCCCGGACATTATCCAACTCGAATCTGGCGTTCGTGCATTGAACCAAGGTTTGAATCATCCTTGAATTGGTTTACGAGAATCCAGTGTAACGGAATCTGGCGATATTCCAGGCACGTGTTCCGTAACTTCCAACCAGTTCGTTTAAACGTGTTGACGCGTCGACCAGTTCTCAACAAAGGTCAGTGTCGAGTATTTTCGACTTGCCACGGACACTGGAACGATGTGATCCGCTTATGTAATTTCCGATCTATTACAAGGAAAGTAAACTAAGCGACACGATTCCCTGAATTTCGTAAACGTTGGACGTATTTTGCCGATAAATCAGTTTTAATAACGTTATCGGCGCCTCTATTTTTCAACCGAGTCAGATAACTCTTGGTTGAAATTGGAGTAACACTTTCAGCCGGAAAATTGTTCGTTAACGATACAAATAAACGCACGATCTTACTAGATAGCATAAAGAGGGCAAAAACTAGTTTAACATTTTTATTTGTTATCGAGACTCAAGTTTTAAGCCATGAAAGTCGAATCGGCAGATAGTTTCATATTTTGTATTTAATTCCGAGGTCGTGCCCCCTCTCCCTGCTATCGCGGTGCAGTCTGGATTTTTCAAAACCACTGTACTATGACTTAAGTCTTGACTCTTGGAATCAGTGTCTCGATGCGTCATAGTAATCGGTACCTCCAATTAAACGCGACGGAAATACCAAGTAGGAAAACGCTCAGCTATTTTGGATATCCGATAAAAGTACACGAAACCCGTTTCCCGATACTCGTTGTATTTTCCAGCTTTTACAATTACAGTATTTTTTCCAACGAGCAAACTATGACGTCTTATGCTATCGAACGGGTCCCGAACGTACATTTATTTTTTTTAACAAAGCTGATCACCTTGAGAAACACTTCGCAGGCTTCTCCGTGCGATTTTCTTTCGAGGCACACGACGGCCTTGGTACTTCGAGACTCGGTATACGAAATTTGTCACGCGAATTTACCAGAAACACCACGAAATTGACTTTCTCCTTGACCCCTTCTGCCTCCAGAAAAATCTATATTTTACCCAGAAATTCATCTCGTAATTGCGTACAGTGATTGCGAATAATCCTTCGTCGAAAGACAGTCATTTATCAACAACATCGGGAAACTCGATTGCAGTGTTTATTCACACAATTATCGTCCTCCTTGTCAGTCTCTAATTAAGACAAACTTCCTTGTTTATCTGTCCGTTTGTTCCGAGGAGTAGTTAGCATACCGAGGCCTTGAGAACGTGTACAGAATTATCATAAAATTAAAAAGGTAATCGCGGCACGTATCGTTGGATCAAACCGAGTCTAAACGGTTCGAAGCTGCCCGAGGATAAATGTTTATGAATCATGGGCTTCGTGACAGGACTAATATCGTATCGATAATTCTATGCTCGAACAAAAACCACAATAAAGGAAGACCAGGTATTCGATAAGACTTTGATACGAAACGTGGGACAAGACCGCTGGTCTTATCCGCGAGATCGTGAAGTCATCGTTATTAATATATGGAAATAAAATTATGAGCAACTGATGGATTCTCACGATGCAGTTGGCTACAAATCTCGCATGGAAATCTCGTTTTCGATCGTCTTGCCGCGACAGTGAAAAATCCCAATTGGTCGTACCGTCGGCCATCTTGGCTTTCCGCGAACGTGTTTGACAGGAATATTTAATCAGGCAGTAATTTCCATTAGACTTTATCCTGCTATAATTTAAAACAGTAAATTGCATTAAAAGTTTCGTTAAGGAAAAACAAAAGTAAGCTTCATATTTGCGTTAGTGTCATCGATATTCGAATCCGGATCCAGGGGAGTCCACTCAGCTCTGAGAATATGTGACTTTAAAGTAAAATGGTGTTGGAATCCGGGTGGTCAAGTAATGCTCCTTTTGTATAATCAGAGTTTATTCATGATCGTTGAACACACGCCGAACTCAACTATGAAGAATTTCCAATGGAAGTTGACTCTAGACAAGGCGTTAACACCCGCAGACTTCTTGGGCAACTCTAAGGCCCCTGGCCCTGCGGTCACGGGGGTATGGACCCTTAGAGCTAGTGACTAACATCGACGACGTATCGATGTTTGGCCTATTGGTCATCCAACAGTGTATCAGGCGCCAATGTATTCGAATAATCGAAATCCTTGATCCCTGGCATTCGTTTTCAGGGTCCCAGTCGCAATGTGGAGAGCACTGTTGACGTTGGCTCTAGCCAGTCACACCCTGGCCGTGCCGGCTCTGCAGGACCAGGGCTTGGACAGCCTCATATCGAACGTTTTCGGGCAGCCCTCGACCCAAACCACGGCGCCCGTCACCGAGGCGAACGAGGACGGCAATTTGGACGCTTTGATCGGGAACGTGTTCGGTACACCGTCCAGCGTGAACCCTACCAGCAATATAGGGACTTCGGGTTCGGGGTCAAACACCATTCTGGGGACGCAGAACACGCCGAAACCGTTGCCCAGCGACTGCGAATGCGTCCCGTACTTCCAGTGCAACAACGGGACCATTCTGGATAACGGGGTCGGGCTGATAGATCTCAGGTCCAATTTTGATGACAATACTCCCGGGGATCGCGCTCTGGAGTGAGTTTTCCAAAGACCAGGTCTCTGGCGCCGGGACCCGCCAATGCTGTCACCACAAAATCGCTGCACGATCTGCAAAATGGCGGTATCAGTGGACTAACGACCCACTCGCGAAAGACAAATCTTGCATGAATTGGACCATATTATCGAAAAGCTACTGTTTTCGGTGCTCTGTTCGTTATCCGGGGGGTTCTTTCGATTCGCCTTCTGTGTTGCGAATGTGCACGCCGCATGAGCCTGTCTTTGGAACTTCCTCTTTCGTACAGCATATTTATTTTCACCGTTGGGTTGTTCGTATTTTCGGTGAACGTTGCACGTTACCAAACTTGTCTCAAACTTTCCAACGTCGGAATAATCTCGATTGTTTGTTTCCTCGACGATACAGAGCCTTCGGTCCGTGCGAGAACTACTTGGACGTCTGCTGCAAGCCTCCGGACCGGAAGAACGAAACGACTCCCACGACTCCGGCGGAGAGGAAGGGTTGCGGGCAACGAAACCCGCAAGGTGTCGGTTTCAGGATCACCGGAGACAACAACAACGAGGCCCAATTCGGCGAGTTCCCATGGATGGTGGCGATCCTGAAAGAGGAAATGATCGGCGCGAACAATCAGAAACTGAACGTCTATCAGTGCGGAGGTTCCTTGATCCATAGACAGGCCGTTCTGACGGCTGCTCACTGCGTGCAAGGGTAAACTATTTCTACAAATTTATAATTGTCGGACGTTGTGCTTGAAAAACTTGTTGAATCTGTACGAAACACGATCGTTTTGCAAACAGGAAAAACCCGTCCGAGTTGAGGATCCGTGCAGGCGAATGGGACACGCAAACCGTGCACGAAATATTCCCGCATCAGGACCGAACTGTGAAGCAGGTCATCGTCCACGACAAGTACTATCCCGGTGCTCTGTACAACGACGTCGCCATCTTGATTTTGAGCGAGCCGGTCACTTACGCGGAGAACGTCGACGTCGTGTGTCTGCCCGAACGAAACGATGTCCTCGATGGATCTCGATGCATCGCCAGCGGCTGGGGCAAAGACATATTCGGTAAAACTATTAATCCATCGTGAATTGAAAAGTCCAGAGAATCGAAATTTCCATAGCAATCGATGCTCTATCAGCTTTTCCAAGTGCCAGAGATTGGACTAAACTCTTAAACTTAAACCGTTTATTGTGTATTTAGTATACTTCTAAGATAGAATCGTCTCCTGTAAATAAGTTCTCGTTTGAAAGATAGAATCAAATTTGCCCAGAGAGTTAAATAGGCTTATAGCTTTATTGCTACGGTGGACGTTGGTTTATTAGGGCCGTCGTTTATTTCTGGTACTAATGACCCCCAATTAGCCGGGAGCCAATTGTATATTATGGTTTTGCAAGTACCTGACCGGTAACGCTCGTCCTTTCAGGTAAAGAGGGTCATTATCAGGTAATCTTGAAAAAAGTGGAACTACCAATCGTGCCACGCGACAGATGTCAGGAGAGTTTGCGAAAGACGAGATTAGGGAAGTACTTCAAGCTTCATGAAAGCTTCATCTGCGCCGGCGGGGAGGCTGGCAAGGACACCTGCAAGGTAACTAACAAGATTATAGAACCTCAGAGATTTTTCTGGCAGAGAAAACTTGTACATTGAACTTGGTACATATCTCACTCTATATTTACATCTCTAGCTCATGCAGAATCACACACTCCCCTCGCCCTACCTTACTTGCGACGCAATAGCTTATCTCACTCTTCTTAAATATTTATCTCCGTATTTCGTTTGAACTTGTACTTATCTATTACTTTTCTTTTTTATCCTCTCTGCTTTCCTCAGACATTATGATGTTTCCTCGTTCTTACATACATCCACTATTTATACCAACCTTATCTTATTATTGTCTTATTACTCTCTCAACAAATATCGTAGTGTACTATATTCATTCGCATTCTTTTAAATTCTCGTACCTTCCATCAAACGCAAATCAATGTTCTCCATTTTTAAATTCATTTAAACTCATACTACTATACTATAAAATTTTCTATTACATTTCTACTATATTCCCTGATCTCTTCCTCCCAAGATCTTTTCCAACACAGAACTGATAGTTCTCTTTTATTTTCCTCTATTGTTATATATTCTGGTATATACAGACAGGCTTTGAGCAGAGCCGTGTGCGTGTGGTGTACTCTAATTTTTAGTATTTCGTACATCGGTGCAAATTGAACATAGTGTGTGACTTTCTTTTTGCAGGGTGATGGAGGAAGCCCCTTAGTGTGCCCTAGCAAAACCAATCCCAATAAATACGTGCAGGCGGGTATCGTGGCATGGGGAATCGGCTGCGGTGAAGACGGTACCCCAGGTGTCTACGCCAATATCCCATATGCACGCGACTGGATCGACGAGCAGATGGCCTTCAACAATTTGGACAATACCGTTTACAACGTTTAACATCGAAAACAGACTGACTCGTTTTATAAATTCCCTTCATAAATACAGATCGCCATCCTCTATCACCTTCTGTCCAACAGCATTTTTTAATATTGTAATCAGCACAAGATAATAAATGAAATACGAGTATACAGTAAGAAAGGTTTATCAAATGCAACCCAAACGATAAGAGGATATAGAGTAATTGTACAGTAAGAAACTATAAACCCGTCCAGAAGTTATAATTGTTTAAACATACATTATATTTTTCGGTAATGACTTTTTTTCTTAAAAGTCCGTAAGAATTCGAGAGTTTGTCTAATGACCAAAAATGATTGAAATTGACCCCTGTAATTGAAAATAATTTTTCCGGAACGATTTGAAATTTTTGAATTTCGTCGAAAAATGTCTGCATATACTCGAATTTTTTTCTCGAAAATGCGTAGGAATTCGCGGGTATGTCTAATGACCAAAAATGATTGTAATCGACCCCTGCAACTGAAAATAATTTTTCCGGAACGATTTGAAATTTTTGAATTTCGTCGAAAAATGTCTGCATATACTCGAATTTTTTTCTCGAAAGTGCATAGGAATTCGTGGGTATGTCTGTTCACCAAAAATGATCGTAATTGACCCCCGTAGCCGAGAATAATTTTTCCGGAATGATTTGAAAGTTTTTAATTTTGTCGAAGATTTTAAGTTTTGTATCTAAATTCGTCCTTGTAGAAGAAATAAAAATACGCGTAAAATAAAGTCGAGACACCTGAGGATTTACAGTATTTTTCTCGAACTTTACGATTGTCCTCGGCTGACTATGTTCTTCGCACTTCCTCCCTCGGTACACACACCATTTTCCTTTTCCCTTGCTCACACCCATACATGCATCCACTCTAGGAACACACATTTGTTTTTTTAACTCTCGACCGACGATCTTCCCGTCACTTTGCAGGCCCATTTCTTAGAATTGTTTTGTTTCACTGCCAAAGTGTGGGGTCGTGTGTTTACGTTATTCGAGTACTGCACTGTTCACTGTCCTCGTAACTTTGAGGCAGTGATTCTTAATCGCGAATGTTTCACCATAGGATCCAACGAGTCTGTTATTTCTTACACGTTCTAAATTATTAGCAATAGGGAAATTGAACTTTAACTTAGAGTGCTTAAGTTTTATTCACTAATTAAAATTTTTGGGCGGTTAGGAAACTATGGAAACTAGTCTTTGTTTCCGGAGAGAAATTCTACTATCCATTTGATATTAGAATAAGCCGTCTTGTTACATTGTTTTAATACGTTTAGTCACAATATGACTTGCTACGATATACGCGTTAATGTCCGTATAGCATGCACTGCTACATTATTTACTTTGAACAGAAAAAAAATATCGACAGATGCTCGTCATTCTATGTGTGGCGGCTATTCATGAAAAATTTCGATATAAACAAAACGTGTTATACCGTCTCGGTAGATTTCCGAAGCTATGTTTATGTGACCTCTTTACTTTCCGACCTACAAAGAAACAAAGAAAGAAATACAGTATGTATGCATGTACATACGCGATCGAAAAATATTATTATCGATGTCCTGTCTAAAAATTATTAATGTGTATGTATATACAATAGATATTAGACGTTTGATTTGATGCACCAAACATTATTTATATGTATGTTTTATGGGCATTCTTTCCCAAGCAGTTTTACCTACGTAGTAATGTTCCCTCCTTTTTTTAACGCTCACGATTACCCTATGCTTTTTCCTTGTCTGACGAATACAAGTCAAGGCTAGTCGTTAATTGTTCTCATTGTTCTCAATCGGACTGTAACAATTAATTGCAAACGTAATTATGTTTCTATCTAGTCAATTTATTACACTGTATTTTTTACTACTAATTTGATGAATTTTGAACAAATTCTCAAGAGGCATCGAGATCGAGACAGAGAACCTCTGTCACAGGTAGAGTCAACACTAAGCTGTACGGTCAGCTTCAATTCATTATGGTCCTCGACTTCATAGCGTGAACAGTCCAACGCATACGCGATCAATATAAACAACAATATTATTTGTATCCAAATTTTGTGTATCTTGTAAAAATCATTCGAGAAAAACGCTTGAAACTATTTACGAAAAAGAAACCATAAAATTTCCAACGCTACTAGTATCGATATATCGATATATGAACGCTTGGGATTCCCGTTGTTATTTAGTAGTACTTGAATTTTTCGCGGCAAACGTACAAAGTGTCTTTTAACGAAGATCAAATATTGTATAGTGTTGAATGTTTCCTCTTCCTTCGATTAACGGAACAGATTAAAGAAGATCGGACTGTTGGCGAGAAGAAACAGAAGCTGGTAAGAATAATAGCACCATTTATGTATACTTACATTCATCGTTTTATCAGCACGTGCTACAGTAAGTAAAACCGTTTAAGAATTAAGCGTTGATTTATTGGAGACAGAACAAGTTTTCGATTGTTGTGAAAATAGTTTAAGTTTCGTTATGTACGTAATTTGTAGCTGTAACAATTTAATCTATAACAAAACGAACAAACGAGTAAATAAATTTAATTTCCAGGAATGTAATTGCATTGTTTGCAATTGAAATTGATTTAATGTGTGATATCAGAGATCTAATTCGTCATTTTATTTACGAACGTTTTTTACTTTTTATAATCACATTTTGATGTTTATTTTCATTCGTGACAGCAGACAATTACGATTATTGTAATACAGAATTTTATAAGTTGTACAATCTTGTCATAGTATTATCTAATTTGTAATATTCTAAGAAAAATGGGAGAATCAGGACAGAGTTATTCTTCCGAAGAGGAATATTGGTTAAATAGAAAGAAACTGCGACCAAAATTTTGGCAAAATACCTGCGGTGTTGCAAATGCAATACAAGACAAGTATAAAAATATTTTGGGTTCCAGACCCATTGTTCTTTTGCAAAGATTACCAGAAAATGTTATAAAAGATAACAATGGTCAAACTAGCAAATATTCTGAACAAAAAATTGACGCAAAGAATCTTGCAAAAGATTCTTTATCGGATGGGCAGTTGAACAGACCTGATTTATTATTATATAATGCAAAAGTTGTATTAACAAGATTGTCAATAAATGAAACTAGATTGGCTACAATAGGTAGAAGCACTGAAAAATTAGGTAAAGTTAGAACTGCTCCTAAATGTAATTATAGTTTAAAGAAAGGTATAAATGGTTGTACCTTACCCATAAAAGATAATTCTGTGTTGTGTGTGAATAAAAGTGATTATGAATCTACCTTTGGCAAAAGTAAGTAAAGTATTATCTTCTTTTCATTATAACTATCTTTAGCATAGAGTTTAGAATTATTATATGGTACTTGGTAGTGGTATATCTATGTATTTAATATTTCAATTATTTTTGCAGCGGCAATTGTAGGAGACAATAAAAATTCAAACATAATAAATGTTCCTAGCCAGTTTGAAGCATGTACAACAAAGATTCTGAAGAGGAAAGGAAAAAGGAATAATGGACATAATTTTAACAAAAGGCAGAAGATTTCCCAGCAGTCCCAGATCTTTGAAGATATTGATACAACTAGGATCGATGAGAAAGAAAGAGATCTGAACCAGAACTGTATTCACAGTATGGTTCATCGTAGTGGCAATTTTGTAGATGAAGAAAATATTGTATTTAATCACTTTAATTTTGAAAATGAAGAACAAGAGCATACTTTGCCAGGTACACAGAAATTAATAAGAGAAAAGGAAAAGATCGATGTACATAATGTGACGCATGATATAATGCAACAATCGCTAGAAACTGCAACTTTACTAAAAAAAACACACACAGAAAATAACGAGATCGTTAGTAACGAGGCTATACAAAGAGTAAATAGCTGGCTTACAGATTCTAGAATTAAGCCTAGCATTAGCGCAATTGAGATCGGTAGCATTAATAATAATGTTATAGAGACAAATGCAGATAGAGCAATATCTCAATTGACGAACGTAGCCGTTAATAAGATTACACAGACCAAAAATAATGAAAATATACCACCCCGTATTGCGGAAAAAAAGTTAAACAACGAACAAGGTATTTCAAATTCAATAGAACAGAAGGAAATAGAAACTCTTAAAAGCGTTTCTAAACCAGAATGTGATTCACTGCAGAAAAAAACATGGAACTTAACGGAAACAACATATGTAACATATAAGTCACCTGTACAAAATGAACATTTATTTTCAGACGAAGTAAATTCTAGTAGTAAGCGCACCGAGGATGACGAGGATGAAGACATTGACTGTATTTCTTTGTTCGCTGATTCGGCACTTATGGAAGAGTGAATATTTGATTTATTTATACTATCGATAAGTTTTCTAGCTACAATGGTGCCCGGATATATGATCAACGATCGAGACCGTACTTGGTCATATATCCGGACACCACTGTACTTGGTTGAGTACAATACTTGAGAAGTTATATTTTTTTATAAATATTTATAGATACAACGATTCACTTGTATCCGTTAACAAGGACAAGGTGTATAATTATTTACATACTGAAAAAGCGTATGCCATGACCAATAATGTAATTGATAATTATTATAAAAGGACTGCATATGAATTTAATAAGTTATACAACTCTTACAGTTCGGAGAACAGTCAAAATACTACAAAACAAAATGAAGAATCGTTAGAGTTACCACAAAATACAACACAAAATATCATTGTAGACAATACAAATTACGAAATACAAAGTAGAGACTACAAGAGAAAATATCATAATTCAACTCCATTGATAAAATTCAATCAAAATTCCCAGCTAAATAAAACAACGAATAGACACACTCTCGATATAACACAAAATATCATTAACGCTAAATCTCTTCTATTGACGAAATTCTTACAAACGACCCAGCGAGATCAAACTGAAATAAGACATCGTTTTGATATAATTTCAACAATTTTTCGCGGCTATTGCTATAAAATAATTAAATTTGGCGTATGCAACAACGAAAACTGTTGCTTTAGTCATGCGGTATGTATACAATAATACAATTTTGTAAATAATAATTAAAATGAATGCTTTTTTAAAATCTATTAATTTTATGCAATTATTGTGTAATAATATATGATTTTATTTATTATATAGTTCTTGCCGTTTATGTTATATCTGTATACGGAAGATGAACAATTTTTGTTCAAAATTATAGACGAATTGAGATCGTATAACCATCTAACATTTTTATCTAAATTCTATGTATATTTACTGTCCGAGAAGAATGATATCATGTACGTTTTGAAAATGTGCAAAAAGTTATATCAATGTAATATTTTGACTGACAAAATGGGCACAGATACCATTAGAATGTTGCTAAACAACAATTTTTCTATAATAACAATTATAAATAAATTAGAAACAATTGTCAGCATCGGTGATTCCAAATTTGTGAACTGGATTTTGAAAATAGTAGACGAACTCGTTATATATTATATTCGTAACAGAAAACATTGGAATATAATAAAATCATCGTCGATAACTATAGAAGATATAAATCCAGAAATTATAGACAGTATTTTAGAAAGATATATAGCTACGGGAAAGTACATCGAAGATGTACATGAAAATATTAGAAATAAAGTTAATGATTATACTAAGCTCAATCAGCAATTACTATTAATTATTAATAATAAATTGCGGGCACTAAAGGATACACGAAAAGTCGAAGATGACAAAGTGTCAAAAGAAACTGCATTAACGCAGTCTGATGCATCAACTACAAACGATATAACGAGTTCGCCGAATATATGTCTGGATACTTTTTTGAAAACAAACAGCCCAGACAATAATAATAATAATGTAGAAAATGAAATGTCCCCTTATAAATTACATTCAATTGGTAAGAATCTTAACAAGGGAACGTCGAAAATCGTCCTTTGCCCGACCGAGTATAGTTTTTAAATTAATTTCTTTACGTAAAAAATTTTAAACACTTTCTAGATGATTTGCCAAAACCGTATTCCAGACACAGCAGGGAAAAGTTTTGGAAGTTTTACATAAAACTCCGTAGCCTTCAGGAAGGACTTATGCACGACGATTACGATCACGTTATGGAGATCCTAAACTCTGTGAAAGAAAAGGAGAAGACTGTCTTCACTCGCGCGTGTTATCGAATTCTCTGCAACGAAATACAATATTCGCAATACCAATTGAGCAATCTGCTTTTGAATGCAGGTAATGCACAATTTACTGAAACATAATAATTATCGAGAATCTTTTGCTTTATTTATAAGTCTCGTTTCGTATTTTAGATTTAAACGAAACATTTTCCACCGAACTTTCATGAGAAAAAGTGCCTTAAGCCAAATGCATTTTCATTTATGTAACTTTATACTGTTCTTTTTTAATAATTCACGCAAATGCAATCAGTCACATTACTTTGTATTCAAATTTAAGCGAATAAAATAATTATATTATAATGGAACGTCGATGTTTATTTGAAATTGCACTGAACATAAATTTTTTTTTTTAAACGTTACAGTTAAAAATGGAGCAACAACTATATTTTATGAAATATTATTTAAAGTTGCGATACATATTTTGAACGATTTAGCTAGAACCGAATGTTGGGTACTAGCATATAAATTACTCAAAAATATTGATCTTATGTTACAATCGAATATTTATTTTTTTAAACCTGATGCCGCAACAATTTTACTGTTTGCCGAAATTTATTTAGCAAACCGACAACCTATACAGGCTTTCACCTTAATTAAGCGTGAGTTAATACTGTTTTAAGCTGTGCAATCATATTGCGGTTGTTTTCAAATAATTTATTTTTCTAGAAAATAATATTATGTGTACCAATCGTGATAAATGGAAGGTGCAAAGTAGTGCGAAGGACGATTATGTGAGAACACAGCTAATGGCTCTTTTATTAGATACATTGTGCGATACATCTGCTTCGTATGCTTTTTATATTTTTGAATTTTTACTTCTAGATCAAAGTAGCAATTATTATCCAGTAGGTAAGAAACTACATTCTATGGGGCTAGCGCGATAATAAATTTCAGCACATAAATATGTTTTACTTCCTTTAGACCTTACGCGTGCCGCGAATAAATTAGTATCAACGTTTTTGTTAAGAAAAGATTACGAGACGATCATAGATATTGGAAGACTAATTGTCAGATATGATTTTGTACTTAGTACGATAACCTATCGAGCACTGATCGCCACATTAGTTCACGTCGATATAATTCTGGCTCAACAATTGTATGAACGTGCAATCGGTTTAGGCATATACTCCAAATTACAGGTACATTGACCAACGTGTGATCGTTTCTTTTTATTAATAACCATTTTATTTTTTACGAACAGTTTCACCCTGTACCACACATTATTGTAAAATCCGATTGGACGAGCGAAGAAATGTACCTCGCGATTATGAATTTAATGCACCACCTTTCGACGAATATTGGTCATGCGATCGATCGTATTAAGCCGAACCAGATTTCAGTGTATCTTTATTTCGAGGTATGTCACTTTCACTGTACGATCGGGATTTTCGTGAAACGAATATTTGTACAAGGTAATTGTGAATTTGTCAATTTCAACTAATAATTCTTTTGCAGATCATGCCTTCGGAAAAGGAACTTGTTTCCGACGAAATGTACGAAGAACGCGATAATAAGATTAATGAATGTATAAAACGAATGAGCACTTTGTTAGACAAAAAGTTTGATCCACCTGTTTGGTTGGTAAGGAAATATAAAAGTAAATTGCAGAAGTTTAATAGCGTTAGTATTCTTAGGCATTTACGGGGTAAAACTTATATCTAATGTATTTTATGTAACTTTAATCGGGACTACTGAAATTACGATAATCGTATAGTATCTAAACATATCGTTTCAATTTATATACTTTTTTTTTTATAAAACATATTAACTTTTTCTTTTCTTCTCGACTTTAAGATATTTAATTCGTATGACAAAGGTAATCATTGACATAATATAGTGTAAATCTTATTTTGTGTTATTTTAATTTTAATGACAAATGCAATTTTGTATTTTATGCACAATTTATTTGAAACTGTACAATGTTATTTGGTGTGTTCGAGTTAAATATTTTGCAATCTACTGAAAACTTGTTGTATAGCAGAACTATGCGGATTATTAAACTATACAATTCCGAACAATGATACGAATTGCATTCGCGAACGTATACGAATCTATATTTATTTCTGATCATTTTTTGAACTTGTTATTTCAAATTAAATTACATTTCTATTTCCTTTACTATATCGCCAATATTTATATAGACCGTTATTCGTATACGCTGTAGGTACAAAAATCACATGATTTTGATATATATTGCAAAATAGTTTATCAAACTTTATATGCTTTGAATAGAATGTATAAAAAACAATTTGTATGCCGTATTAACCGTAAGAATAAAATGTTTATCGAAAACAAATAAATAAAATAAAATATACTTTGCACCTCTGTTGTAACAAATTCATTTAATAATAATAGTTTTAAGTACTTGTAGCTTCAACTATATACAGAAATAATATACAGAGCTCCTTCAAGGCAAACATCTTTCAAATATCATAATTGAATTTTCGGAAAATTGTACGTGACCGTAAAAATAGACATGGACAATTTAGTGTATTGTTAGATAATTACGATTCTAGTAAAAAGTTCGAATTTCTAGCTAGTTTTAGTAAAAAAAAAAGTAATGCGCGATTAATCGAATTCCGGTATATCGTCGAAAGAATACCCTGGCACTTTTTGGTATGCTAAAATGGCTACCCTCATATGGTAAGCTCCTGGTATGAACATTAAAATTCCTAAACTAATAACTGGCCACATACGGTCAGAATACTGTAAAAGAATAAATGATTATTAGCCGCACATTGTATCAAAGTAATATGATATAGAATTTTTATTACAAGTAATATAATTAGAGTTTTTAATCTTACTTTGGAATCAATGTGTCCACTCACAATCAGGCTACCCATAATGAGCATGATGGTACCTCCAACAAACAGGAGAGCTGCTAATGTAATGGCCTTCCATGGTATTTTTACAGGTGGATTCACAAACTGTTGATAGAAATTATTTGTGATTATTGGTAACTGGTTTAGCTGATTCCTTTCTGATGATAAGAAAACATTCAGAAAATAAATTAACATTGTTTTACCTGAGAATCAACAAAACCATTGTCGGTTTCCGTAAGCTGTGTATAATCCACGTTGTCAAATTGTCTGTTGCCGCCAAGTTTCCTCCTGGACATACTCACTTTGTGGATATAATCTACAGAAATCGTCGGAACACTTACGTTGGAGCCGTTACGTTACGTTAAGGATCGCAAAATTATCTTACAATTAAAAGATCGAAACAGTTCGAGCAATGTCTAACTCTACTCTCTATATCATTTGTAAATGTTGCTTAAAATAACATTTTGATTAGACTGAATGATTCTAGAAATTATTTAGGTTTACTACAGTATATATATACACGCTGCACTTTTCCGAACGTCGAAATATTCTGATCTAACGATGACTTTGGCAACTCAACTTTTTCGAGTGGTTTCTATAATAACATCGATTCGTTCCAACTAATCGATAACAATTTAACAAGATAATTTAGTTATACTCCGTTACTTTCGTCGAAACTAACATACACTTTCGAGGTTATGTATCTGTTGATATCTATTATCTTGAAATATGGAATGCATGCGTCAAGGATGTCAGATGGAGCTTCGGGTGCACCGGGAACACCTCGTTCCATTTTCCTACATTATGCCATATCACATGTATGTGAGCTCGTTGAGTTTCGGAGAATCGACAAAGGCAAACAAACACATGTCTTCTTTCTCGATTCTACGAAGCTGCCCGAAGTAATTTCGGACCGTCTCGTGGGAGTCGAGAGAGGAAGGCTCATTTGCCTTCTCGCTCTTGAACAACTGATTCCGATTTCATGTAAACTCATGCATACGAGATGGAATCAGTGATGCCAGATTGAGCACCGGGTGCACTACTTAACTATGCCAGATCACGCGTACGAAATACACGTTTTAAGACCCCCCGATCATATTTGAATTATTGAAAAAAAATAAATTCATTTTTATTATTCCTATATATGAGCGAACATATGTATATCATTTCAGATATCACTTCTGATACATCTGGCAACGTGTAACCATTACTGCTGGCTTCTGCTGGCCTCTGCTAACCTCTGCCAACATGTGCGGGCTTCTACCTGCCTCTGCTGGCCCCTGCTGACCACTGCTGACCCTTGTTAACAACTTCTGCCATGATATATATGTATTAAAACATTGTATAATGTAAATCTATGGCAATAAATGATATAATTACAAAAAATTCTGTGTTCTCATCATTTTTTACCTTTCTTTTCCTCTCCAAATCATTACCTTAGTTATAAGACTCCCTGAAACTCCTTGGTTTCCCTGAACCCACTAGGAAGTTCTAAAACACCTCGAAAGTCCTGAAACTCAGAACTTTACTAAAAATTCAGGGTTTCCAAGAAATTCCAGGACTTCCCAGTTGTTTCAGGACTTTCCAGTTGTTTCAGGACTTTCCAGCTGGTTCGGGACTTCCAAAATACCAAGGAGTTTCAGGACTTTCCAGCTGTTTCAGGGCTTTCCAGCTGTTTCAGGACTTTTCGAGGAACTTAGAAATTTTTCGAGCAGAAATTTTTAAAAGAAAACAATTTGAAAGGTAATTTTTAATTTTGACAGCAGGTAAGAGGAGGACATGATATGGGAAGAGGTGGCACGTATCTTATAACTATGGGAATGCTTTGGAGAAGTAAAGAAAGGTAAAAATGATGAAAATACATAGAATTCTTTGAAATTATTTCATTTATTGCCATAGATTTACATTATACAAGGCTTTAATAGTTCGTTATCTTCAACGCTAGATGGCGCTTATTTACCGACCTCGGGCCCTCTGGTCCTAAAAAGCCCAAGCTTGTCGAGAAATCCATTTAGCGTGGGCGATACGAACTATTCCACGACAAACTTGGGCGTTTTAGCACCATAATAATAAGCTTTAGACACTGTGCGCCTACATAGGTCGAAAAGTAAAAAATGCCTGGGCAGTCGAAATTCCAAATCGTACGTCGTTGAGAAGGCAAATGTGAGCCTTTCTCTCTCGACTCCCACGAGACGGTACGAAATTACTTCGGGCAACTTCGGAGAATCGAGAAACAGAGCATGTGTCGGTTCGCCTTTGTCGACTTTCCGTAACTCCACGAGCTCACGTACGCGTGATCTGGCAGAGTGTGAGAAAGTGGAACGAGGTGTCCCCGTTGCACCTGGGGCTCCGTCCGCCATCTTTGGCGCATGCGCACTGACTGAACGAGGGAACGAGGGAACAAACCAGACAGCGCGGGATGATTCAACCGCCCGGAACGTTTAATTTCAAATAAAATGAGTTTAGAATTTAAAACAGAATAGGGCCAATATCTGTGCCAAACCAGCTTGCCCACGTATCAAGCAACGACGACACACTTATGCTCGTGTCTAAAGTGTAATTCGATTCTGTTTCCCTTCTCTGGTTCGCTAACGATAAAGGAAAGATTGCGCGATCTTGGATGAAAAGATAACTCCGTTTCACAGCATTATTTCCCGAGCGAACAAGAACCGTTGCTTTCCCGTCACCTTTCGAATTTCGATGCAAAACCCAGGAAGCTCTTATCAATCCGATAACATTCTCGCTCGAAGTCTACGAAAGTTAACGGTTGGGTCACGCACGACATTCGATGGGAATCGTTTGCGTGCAATTCTGCCTGACCTTCCATATCGTTGGACATTGCGTGTTGTGGGCACAAAAGGGATAGCGATATGCAAAGCGATAGCTTTGTAGATGCTAGTCGACGAATGTGTTTCTCAAAACGCTAGTGGGCCAAACATTGTGGAAAATTCGTTCCTGGGGTTTGCACAAACACTCTCTGCGTCTTGGTGTTTTCGGTGAGTTCGCTATATTCCTTCTACCCACGATACCCATTGGTTTACCGACGATGATACTCAATGGGATATCGTTTCTCGATCCTTTGGATACAATGGATGGTAGCGATATAGCGAACTCTTTCGGGATGAACTCGAGTGGCATTAAATTCAAAACCGTTGTCTCGCGTATCGAACACAGTGATCGATGACGGGCGATAGAAATAAAGAAGGATGGAAACTGTACCCTCGGTCTCGTCGATCGTTCTTCTTCCCTTTTTTGGCCTATTTTCTCCACTTGTGTGCACTCTTACACCGCGGTTCACTCGATCTACGACTTCACTATATCTTTGCCCACATATTATACGTGGCCGTGTCTCGCACACACCGTTGGCACAGGCGACTTTAACATCGAGACTATCGGTCACGCTTCTCGTCGGCGGTCGGCCGCGGATCGATCTGCGAAAATGAAGAGGCGCCGGTGGAAGCTGTGCTCTGCGTCGCGACGCTTAGGCGCAGTGCAGTACTACGGCCAAGGGCCACGGGGGCGCAATGGTATCGATACCACGGACATTACTATTTCTCGCAACAGTCTATGAAACCGGGCTCGAACGCAGCCTTTACGATGTGAGACCATTTACGTAAACCGTGTCCAGTGATCGTTCGAAGAGGAATAAGAAAAAGCGCACAAGGTACCTCGGCCAGACCTACTTTTACGATTAACTTTTTGGCGGATCAGGTGGGTGTTGGGGGGGTGTCGGGGGTCGAGGGGGGTAACGGGAAGGAGGCGATACAGCCATCCTCGATGGAAATTGCGTGGCCGGGAGCAGTAAAGCGAAACGGGTTGATAAATGTGGCCATGTTTCGGTGGTATCGCGGCAAAAATATCGATTCCTCGCGCGCGCGCGGGGTGAAGTTAACCCTGTACGGGTTGACTATATTAGGTCACCGGCGTATACTGTCGCGGCCGTTTTCGCGTGCAACTTTGCCACCTTGAACGATGGACCCGCACGGTATATTAATCAATAACGTATCGAGTGTTTAATTGTCGGGTCCGCGAGGTTGCTTGTCCGTTCGAGGGACAGAGAATGCGGTTGCAGTTTCGCGCGGCTAGGCAAAGGGCGGTGGGGTGGCCGCCGGATGGTATGGTGGGGGTTGGCCGGTTGATTCTGATTCGAGGGTAGCCGAGATGCTCGGCATTTGGCGAATTCGAGCGTGACGGGAGGCGCAGGACGGGGCGTCCGGTGGCAGCGGTACGACACTGGACCGGCAGAACGCCTGCGCAGCCGGCACCACGTCGGCGTTCGGTGCATGGAGGGTAACGGTGGCCCAGGGGCGGCAGTGCGGGTTCAGGGGGCGGCGAGGGCGGGTGCCTCCGTTGAAACTACCCCTTGACGACAGCCCGCAGCCATTCGCACCCTCGACCGATCTCGCGCCGCGTAATTCCTCGTTCCCTTCGATAATCGAGCCGTCTGCGGATCCGCGACAACCATTTCTCGTCTTGCTGGATCGAGGGACGCGCGAGCCGTTCGTCCAGTCAGGTAAATCAGACGTAGCCTAACGGGGGTCCGATCTTCGGGGAAACCAAGTTGGCGAGCTACCACGGTGCCTCCTCCACGGGACCTAACGATTCTTCCGCGATAATACGCGTTCGGGGGGCTTGTTTATAGCGCGTCGCTCGCTTGGACCACGTAGTGCTTCCTGTTATGACGTTACTGTGACACCAGTGTGATTCTCCGCAGTAGTCGGCGAGAGTTCGCTGGTTGCTCGTCGATAAACGATATACGGTTGTTTCTCTCGGTCGGGGGGATGCTGTGATCGTGCCACGTCCAGGCATACGTCAAACCCGCGAACGGTTCACAGGGTAGATCGAACGTTCAGTTTCCGAGCCCGAGTTCTTCCGGGCGAATCGTCTGCACCAGTTTCGCTTGATAGTTCCACGAAGGTAACACGGAACGGGGATTATACGTATTTGGGGAACAACCCGTGTGTGGTAGAACGTTGATTAAGCCGGGTACAAGTTGGTTCGTTGGAAGGTTCGGATGGAATTGGGACTCTAAATCGTAATAGACGTAGATTATGCGCGAATACTGTGCTTTCCGAGTGGACCAATGCCCCGGGAAACGCGTTCGAACCCATTAATCATAATAATACCGTTGCAGCGGGACGATCAAAAGCATCGTTTCCAGCGGCATCGAAGATTTACATTATCGGCCGATATCGTGTCGATACCGCTGACAATAACCGTACGATTAAACGCGTTGCCACTCACGTAACGTTTCAATCTCGTTCGATCTCGGTTACGCATAAATAATCGGATACCTTGGACGTTGTTGGCTCATTTTTGGTCATTTATAATCACAAGGGTTTTTTTGTTTCATCGCTTGTCTCGGATTTTAAATTTCAAAGTCGATCAATTTCCTAGCCTCTAAACCCTTAAGCTTGGAAGCCTTAAATTTTCGATGTTTCGAGTTTCGATTCCTAAATTTTCAAGCCACGAATCGTTAAGTTCCGCATTATATCTATAGCATAACTCGAACCAAATATCGTCATCCCTCTTAAATATACACTCCTTGATTCTAGATTCACTTAATTGTTCCTTTTCTTTTAACTAGAAAAGTATCAACGATTCTATGAAATTGGTAAAATCTATTTTAATAGAGTCTCCGTGGATAGAAAACATTTCCAACTGCTCTTGTAAGCCCTCTATAGAAAAACTTTCAATTCTATACGCCCTAAAATTTCATTCATCCTTCGCGATTATCAAAAGGGAAACCCTTTGTATAAAAAGCACTACGGGTTCTATTAATCGCTGGTTGGTGAAACTTTAATGCAAATCATGGCCGTGACGATATTAAGGAGTTGTCAAACAAAAAGTAGGAAAGAGGGCAAAGATAAAAGTTTCTATAGGCATTAGAGGATCTATTGATCTTGTGGGTGGGAATCTTTTCGTCGTTAGCAGTTCTGTAACCTTCGGTTTATACTTGGCGCCGTCTTAGACGACCGTTTATACAGTGATATCGCCAACAGTCGCGACAGTCTTTTCCATGCACACGTTTTTCACATGGCACAGTCGTTCCTTTTTTCAATCAAATCTATCGAATGGTATCTTTTTCTAGAATTCATTCTTTTACACGAAACAGTATAATTTGTTTTTAGAAGTATAGCGGCAATCTTTGTCCTCTACGATCGAATATCTTGATCCAATCGCACGACACACGCAGTTGCACGACGACCACCGTTCTTAAAATATTTATTAGGAAATAGTACGCGACACACGGGTGAAAAGGTAAGATAATTTTTACGCTTTCGTCTATAATTACACGGTAGGCACATAGGCCAGTTGGATGATCGATATGTAAAGTTTCCAAGACCACGGTTCCAGTCGCTAAAACAATTCGCAAATCTTTTGCCGCTCGATAGATTCAATTGAAAAGAGTTAAATAATGTTTGATACTTTGATCGATACATATGTGCAACGAAGATTTTATTAAGTAATGTTAGTGTCGTGTGTTGAATACTTGGGTATTCGAAATGACTACCACTCGACTCGAAGCGATTAGTTTTCCACAATTTCGTATGCTCGACAGCCGCTCGGTAGGCGATCAGAGAAACGTCTCCGTGGAGGATTAATATTCATTCGTCGTGTTCCCAGCGTCGAAGGTCGAAGCGATTAACGCGAACGATGATGGATACAAGTCTGACCGGGCGCTGGTACACTCTACTTCACGCGATAAGTCAAAGTCAGACCTTGAGGGCGCGCAAACCGGCGGCCGGTTCTCCACCGACGCTAGGAACGTTTTAAAGTTCAAAAGTGGCTGCAATTACGCAATCGGCCATCGCTGTGGAACACCGATACTCATCTACCACCAGCGACGGAAACGCGACTCGAATCCACCCGTTAATGACCGCTAATAACGAGCCAATTTGCTTTTACTTTCTTACCGCTTTTACTTCTTTCATCCCCGCGGGTCGAATCGATTCTTTCGCCACCGTTCGCGAGAACCTAGCCAATTTCTAACGATTCCCAATTATTTTCGAGCGTATTGCCGTGTCGAATATCTCTGATTATCTCACGCAATGATCTGTCGGTGATTAGTTTCAGCATGGAGGACCGCAACGTGATGGACCGAGGCGACAACTTTTACCTGCTCGCCGAGGAAGAATTGTCCCAACTCTTGGACTTCCTCGCTGGCTATTTACCAGAATCCCTAAAGGTGCGTGCAATTATGTTCGAAATTTGTCGCGACGATATCGGTTCCGAGGATCCTTTGTGTCCCAAAGGGGAAAAGAGAGATCGATTCGATCTGTAATACGATCTGATCGAACTACCCTAAACCGAGTAATACGTAGGAGTCGAGTAATTAACGGTACTCCATTTGCATAAAACGTAACGAGTCATGAACGATGTGCCCCTCGGAAAAGCCTAATCTGTCTCGTTTCACGCGCAAATTAGTTCCCCCGTAGTTCACCAATGCTCCCCAACCCCCTGCCCCTCGGCTAATAATAATTCCGACGATCGATATCGAGAACGCTCACCTTCGAAAATAGATTTCTAAGGATTTCGAAGAGAAAGGAATCGCGTTTCGACTTTTTCCGTTCCCTGAAAATAGATCACCCACACCAGCTTGGTACCCCAACAACCAGACGCGTTTCGACGTACCTTAGCCCCGAACATTCCATTACCCTGGAGAACAAGACCCTCGACCTTCGCTCGAGATTCTTAAATTCATATTTTCTGGGCAATTACCTCCGCGATGAGCGAGTTCAGTCCCGGAACGTTCGAATCCATCCCACGGAGGGCAAATCGAATTTTCCAGGGGGTAGGGTGGGGTGTGTCTGTTGCACGATTCCCCGGAGAAGAGGCGTCCGCATCGACGGGATAAAATTACCACCGAAAGGAAGGCGATCCTGGCGCGCCATAACCCGGGTCTAAGTGTCGGCCGTTGCGCTAGGTTAGTGTCAAGGTCGCGGCTGGGTTGCACGCCGTTTTGCGCGGTGGCCTTCCACCGGGCGACATTTACACGCCGCGGGAAACGCGATCGCTTTTTATAAAACGCAAGCACAGATGGCTGGACGCTGGGAAATCCCTTTGGCGGTATCGGTTGGATCGGTTGTGCACCGGTTACGCGATCGTCGCGTTCGTTACGACACGCTCTCGGCCGCGTGCAACGATGCGAGTAACAGCAGATATTTTTTTTATCGCTTTCACCGTCGTTCCGCGCGGGCGTTCGTTTTAACGGGGCTCCAAGGAGCCTCGTACCACGTAACCGGTGCCAGTATCTCGTGTTTATAATAATTACGAGCGTTTTACAATTGTCAGCCCCCGGCAATAAAGATTCTATTCTCCGCGTGCGTACGTACGGAATTTCGCTCGGAAAAACGTGTACGGGACCCGGAAAGAATTTCTATTTGCCAACTTGGACGTTCTAGAAAATATTGTTTACTCTTATCGACCTATTTTCACACGTAGAATTGCAACGTTGGTCCCGCCCCCCAGCCTGTGCATCGTGACAGCACGATAGAAGATCTCTGAACTTTTAGTGCTTCTCAAAGCCAATGCAATATTTGTATGTCGAATCAATGTTCCGCGGGCTGGCGACAAGTGGGACGAGTCATAATACGGCCGGAAATTGGATGTAAAAGGATTACAAATATTAAGTTCATAGATCAAACGTTAAGCAGTGCTCGGAGTATAGAATTAACGGGGAAAGGAACTGTTGAGCGAGCGGAATAAAGAATCGAAGTAAAAGAGTTATTTTTGCAACAAAATAAAGCTGCCAAACGGAGCATTTTCACGATTTTCGATCTAACGATGGCCAAATTGCGGCTCTGCTAAACCCTAACTGCGGCTCTAGTCTGCGTATTCGGTTTATCAAATCCAAGTATCGCTCACAATTAACTGATCAACACCCAAAACAGTCTACCAGTATGCAATGCAAGAAAACTAATGATATTTCTATATTATTAACAGCGATATCTGCTGTACTATTTCAACTAGGATTTAATTTTTAATACGGTAGTCGAGGTGGACTATCTACAACTAGACGTTCACAATATCGTAGCACTATATTTGATCGTACGTCGCGTCGGTCTTGTCACTGATTACATTGATAGTATCCAGCGGAGCCACCCACGCACCCTGAAGTTCGGTGAATGAATTTCCGAGTTTCCACGCAACCCGAAACTCGACAGGCCCCCGATATACGCGATAGACACCTGTTAACGCAAGCGATATTCACGCACCAGAGTGCGATAATCGGTCAGCGAGCATGCTTACGAGAGAAAGTTTTAATAAATCTTACGCCAGGGTCTCTCCATCGCCGAAAAGATTTACGCCACCTTCATTCCCAAAAATAATCTCGTGAATATTAATTTCTTAACACGTTGACCGCCAAGAATCTTCTCAACTTTTACTCAAATTAAGTACATTACGAAATATAGAAATATTAAGTTCAACCTGGCGCGCGGCCCAAAAATTTTCAAAGTTATTATCCTCGAAAACGAAGCTTCGAATCGAAAATTCATACTCTATATTTTCGATCCAATTTTTCACGCAGAATCGCCACACTGTCGCTTCGTAACCACCGATCACCGGACATCCTGTGTATCAGGGATCGATAAAAATTGAGAGGCGGATAATTTCAAAGGTCCCTTAGAAAACGACGTTGCTGAAATTTCACGCATCGCGGGTCACCAGTTACGCAAGAGCAATAACTGTGGTTGGCATCGACGACCATTATGTCTTCGGAATCGTTTTCGACGTCCAGACCGCCGGGGAAATAATATTCTCGGATTTCTCCCCCGATCGTTCCGGAGACCATCTTCCCCGAGCCTCTGCGTCGATCCGCGAATGTAGGTCGCGTCTACTTCTCTCCCCCGTTGTTCCCCAAACGCCACCTTGGTCCCCTGAAAAAGTCACTGGACGTAGAAAACTATCGTGCGTTCCTTCGCCTAAATAGAAAGTGGCGCGAAACTGATTTCAGTCGGATGCTCCGCCGGCATCGATTTATCTTTCTCCCTCTCGCCTTTCACTCTCGACCAAGCGAGTTATCGATCTAAAAGAGCTTTGTTTCCTGCTCGTCGACTGCTGGTGGGACAGCCGGTGTTACGACTGTCGACCACGCCACCTTGATTCCGGTACCGATGTACAAGGTGTACCGGAGTCAAGGCCAGGGTCGCGTTCCCGCGATCACGATGCCGATCTCGTAATCTTTGCTCGCGCTATCGGCGAGAAAATTCGTTCACCGCGACAGGTTCGACCGGAATTCGATTAAATTATCACCGACGCTAAGAATCATCACGCCATTACCAAAATTTACAGACACCGATTTACCTTTAGCAGTTACATCGATCAAATTCACCATAAATTGTTAGTTTGGACACGACCGCGCAGATCGTAGGAATAATCGAACAATAGAGTCGGGCAAATTTGACAAATCGTACGAATGAATTAAACATTTCTATCGGCGAATAGAATGTCCCCCGCCATTTGTTCAGGGGAGCTATGTCTGGCGGGGTTTAGCGATTCCCGGATCGCGTGGGTGACAGGGGACACGCTGACGTTGATAAATCTGTTAGCATCAACGCGGAATACTTTGCGATCGTTCCTTGGCCCAGTTTGGTCCGGGTACGCTATCGTTAATAGTTGACGAGATCAGCGAGTCGTCGATCCGTTCAGGTTTCAGAGGACTAGACTCATCGTACCTCGTCTCTTTATCCTTGGTTCCACTTTGTATTGCACGGTTGCGCGATTCGGAAGACTTAACGATGCCCAGTGGTACTTGTGCAGCGAGCTATAATGCCTGGCCAGCACGAAATGATTGCGCATAAAGCCCGCACCATTTATCCCGGAATAAAGCTGGTGTATCCGGCGAGGAGGCAGGGTCAAGGTCGTGTCCGGGCATGCACGCGTGATGCCGTGTCGCTTTTTCGAATCCGCATTTGAATCGATGCTTCTTGCACGCCTACCAGTCGCCGCTGCGACGCTTAACGAGCACCGACTGAAAGAACCTCGATAATGATTCGGGGAGCTTTGACGGGGCACTTTCGGGATTGTGTGTATCTTCTTTTATGCTTTTTCTTCTCCCGCGTCGAGGGAACCTGCCGTGTTTCGACGCCTTTTTCTTCCGTTCTTTCGACGTCCTTGCATCCCCGGCCATTGTTTGCCGCCCATGCAAGCGAACGAGTATATCGCCGCTCGGGTACGAAATTCATAATCCATAAACTTGTTCCTCGTCGTTTAGCAATATTTTCTATCCCAACGATCGAAATGTATACCAATTTCCAGACAAATATCGAGAATCTTTCCCTCGTAATTGTTCCAAAAAGAATTTCCAGGCCCAACCTTTTTCAAAATAAAAAGTAATCGGATTTACGTCGTGTTTTGGCTCATTTTAATTGTGGAAAGTAACGTCAACTAAATTAGATGAAACTCAACGGTGCGCCACTGTAAGAAGAATCACCTTACGGTCTCGCTATAAATCTATATAATTTGCAGCGTTTTCCATCGAGCCTGGACACTCGATTTAAAGATACATTAATCTAGTTCTTGTTCTTCAATTTTCTTCGCCGCGGGTTCGAGCTTAATCAAGGCAAAACACGTTTACACGTTGGAAAATAATAAAGTTGCCTCGCTTGATCCACGTCTGCGTTTACGGGCGGTTCTATTATTAACTTTAAACCGTGTAAATTAGGTTACACATGACTTTCAACTCGTCAACTCCTGGTTCGACCGATTTCTGAAGACTCGTTATACTTGTTCGCGACAAGCTGCTAAACTTCTCCTCGTTTCGCTTTTAAAAGCGAGGGAAAAAAATCGAGAGAAGCGTTCGACCGAACGTTGTTCCGCCTAGACTCGGTAAACAAGTCCGACGGGGAACTTAATATTAATTTAACTTTCTCTTTAGAAGCAATTTGACGCGCGAAATAGAACGCAAAGGGCACCTTGAACGACTCGAAGTCCCGCCGCTCGATATTGAGATTTAACCATCTATATTTCAAGCTGTATTTGCCTTTCGAAAAGAATTATTAAACTAATAACGCGACGCGATGGTAAATTGTAATCGATGCTCGTAAATCTGGCGTTGAATTACAGTTAAAAAAAAGGCACGGAGATAACGGGCATACGACATTGAAGTCACGCGGGGTTACGGAGGGTTAACTTTCCCTTTAAAATGGATTTCGCGGGACGTGAAAGGGCCTGTTTCGTAGCCGCGTTTCTGCGTCAAAGACACCAAATAAATTGAGACAATTCGTGCAGCTTTCTCGTTTGCATCGTCGTTCTTGCCGCTTTTCAAGATCGAACCGCTGATATGTAAATTCATGCCGGTTACACATCACATGCCGCATGCGAAACATTTTATTACGCTACGCCCGTGCCCTCTGAGAATATTTCAAAAACAGGAAATCATGCTCGCGCCCATTCCTCTACAAGGACACCGTTTTCAGTCGATTTTCTATTAGAAACTTTTCTAAAAAAAAAACAGTCACAAAATAGAGACTGTTTTTTATTTCGGTATTAAGTATCATATCCTGAAGCGAACGTGCCGTTTGGCCGTCCACAGTTTACGTAAAAGAACTGAATATCAGTGCCAACACGTGACTAATAAAATACACACATCCGTGCACGTTTCCCAGGCCGTATTAAAGTTCCAAATTGAATCAACGCGTGTGAAATCGCTAGAGTGTTTGTCGAGGTATCTGGTGTACGATCCGCCATTCCGGCTGGTGCAACTGTTACATAAAATCTAGGACAAGCCACGCGTTCCGCAATACCTTCCACTGTCGATTATTTACTTACTTTCAACCGGCAGGTTGTTACCTAGTTAGTAGCTCATATAGTTCACCACGTAAATTACATTTGCCGCGTTTCTTCTGCGATTGATGCTGATTTCTCTCGGATACATTAACCGATCTTCCTCGTCGAACCTTTGCGGTACACTCTGAAACCCCGACTCGATTAACGTTTTACCCCAGTAAACTAGCTACTACTCGTGACATTTGGCAACCTAAATTGTTTCTACTTACCGACTGGTTGTCGCAACAGTGAAAACAAGGCGTAAAAATTTAGTTGAATAAATATTACTGGAAGAACACTTTTCGATTTTCGGATCGCAAAAGGGTTAAAGTTCAAATCGACACGTTTCCAAGCTTGGGACACTTCGATTCAATTATACAGTAGCGTCCTGTTTTCAAGCCTGACCCGAGAAGCCGCAGAGAAGGGGTAACAGAGTTGTAGAACTGGTAAAATCCTGCATCCTGGGTCGCCAGGTCCATGAACCTGGGATCCTCGAGCACTTCAAAGACCTGGAACAGAAGAAGACAAGTGCCTGGTGAACTTTCCCTGCAGATGTTTGGAATTTATTCCGTCGCGTAACAATCTCTGATTTTGCTGTCTCGTCCGATGCAAACACATACGGGCGCGCGAAGAACCTTGTTCCCGTTTGATAAAAATATGGAGATTTTCGGCGAACGAGTAGAAGTCACTTTATATACGAGGGTATCAGAGGTAGCACGTGGTAGTTATTTTAAGACCCGGCGTCTGGAGCGTCGCCCTCGGCTAGATTCCTCTTTATCCTGCCGCTTCCTCGTAAATATCTACCCTTTCATTTCAGACACTGCCTTTAGTCAGCCCACTCCATGAAAGAGACCATCCCTTTAACTACCAAGACCTCGTGCTCCTCCGTTTCTTCCGCGGGATGAAAAGATTCTCGGACCGTTTCATTCGCGGATACGTCGCTTTGTAAACGCGCCGTTGCAAGATGATTTGCTTGTCATTTTCTTGCCAGCGCCTAACGCTGTTATCGAGTCGCCGCGACGTGTCTCGAAAGGCGCATAAACTCTCTCCGCTTTGTTCCACGGCTTTTTAACCTAACCGTTGTTTCTGCTTCACAGTTTCATCAAACTTTGTTGACCTACATGCGTGACAAAGTGTGGGACTTTCATTTCTACGTGGCCGACGGATGGCCCGAAGCTGCAATCTGTTTACATTTTCCAGGCATGACGTTAGCCGTGAGTATAAAATAAGTTTCTATTCGCTGTAGATTGCGGTTCGACCGCGATCGATAGACGTTCGCCGCGCCCGGAACAGAATCCTCTTTCCCCCGGGTACATTAAAGAAAAACGTCAGGTTTCTGGTTACAAATCGGTTCGTTAACATTTTTATGGGCGTAGATATAATGTAATCGCAGCCCCCGTTTAGCAACGATCCGTGCAAACGTCGGGCAAACTGATTTACCGTCGAATTTCCAGGCGAGAATAAGTGAAAAATGTCGCCGGGCGATCCTGAATGGCTCGACGAGAGAGTTTCAAATTCGTGAATAGAGATTGTAAAGTTGAAGAGAAGACATACGCTCGCGTGCATTCTGCGAATTCATCTTGCTAGAAATCGTATCAGCAAGGGGTGCGGAAAAGTTGGCCCACATCTTCGGCTGGCTTACGGCCAATCTTTTGTTTCACAGCCTTGCCAGTCCATTTCCTGACTTCGCTGGTGACTCCTCTAATCTGCCACCCCACCCCTTCTCCCCCGACGATCGCATGCTCTTTAGTTAATTACCGCGCCAGCAATTTGTTGATTCGACGAGTTCCCGTGTCCTTTCAGGAATTTGCTATTTCATAAATCAGTTGTCGCGGACCTTGATACTTCCTAACGAATTTACCATCCCGTGATACTGGAATTATGACACGTAGCATTTGGCACTTGGAACTAGTCCACCGCCACTTTTCCACTTGCTACAATCACGATATAATAAATATCCAGTTGGTAAACCTTCTTGTTCGAAAACCTAACTACATTTTCGTTGAATTGCTCTTAGCTGTTAATTCGTACAGGTGAAAACCGAAGACGCGTTAACCGATAAATAATTTCCATTAACCTGGTTGCTCGTACGGCTTTCAGCCTCACGGTTTGCTCTACGAGAGCGTGGGCGTCTTTTGTCCCAACGACCGGCTGGAGCTGCTCAAGTTGCTGAGGGACGAGGACAAGCTGATCGACTGGTCCAAGCCTCTGTACATCAATTTCGTTCACTACGACATCGCGGAGGAGCTGACGCGCCTCTACGAGGGCACAGGAACGATCGAGAGAGTGGTAGGCGACGTTTTCGTCTGCGAGGACCCGGAGAACGCCGATTGCGTCGAGGATCCCGACTGCGAGAACGCTGATCCTGAGGTGCAGGTCCTGTCGCTACAGGCCGAACACGCCGAAGGGATCCACGAACTCTATCCCGCGAACGACATGGAGTGCCACGAGCTCTTCCTGCGGCTGATCAGGTCACTTCCGGCAGCTGGGGTCTTCGTCAATGGCAGTCTGGCCGCCTGGATGGTCCAGTCCTATTACGGGGCCATGTTCTCCATGCAGACCAAGCCGGAGTACCGGAGGAAGGGTTACGGAACGAAACTAGCAAGGTAGAAACGCATTTTTTAAATTGCTGCTTAACGGGGTATTCCGGTCTGGACAAGTTCTAGACCCTGTTCATTATTGTTTTTAAACGAAAACTGTTTATTTTACTAATATTTCTTGCTATTCTGATAAAAATTGAACGACGCTGGTCGACTGACGGTAACGAAATCGTAGGTACCTGACGAAACGGGTGGCCGAAAGAGGCTACCGACCTTTCGTGGTGATACGTCCAGAGAACGAGGCCAGCCAGAGTCTGTACAAGAAGCTGGGCTTCAGGAATCTCTACCAAACGGTCCGGATGACGTTCGTGCCTTCGTCGTGGCAGGACACGGAGGAGAAAACGGACAGCGTCCTGAGGGACAACTTGGAGACCGCCTTTAGGCACCTTGCGATCGAACAAAAGGTGGTGAACGCTTTCAGAATCGAGGAGATCTCGGACAACAATGAACTCGCGATGGACGAGGAAGAGTTGGAAATGGTGGTGGAGGAACCGAGCGAGAAAATAGAGGTGGACGAAATAACTGAGGACGGTAAGCAACTGGCGGAGGGGGAGGAACCGTCGGGAAACGCCGAAGAAGCCCCGAACGACGGTGGCGATCAAGACGACGGAGGAACGGACGCTGGGGACACGGAATAATTAACTATACATTCGATTATTCGATAGAAGGTCCACGATTTGCGTCGCGTAGCTCGCTCGAGGATGTGCTCTTCCCTTCGCGGGCTCGCGGATCGTTTCTGCAGACGACGAATCCGTTGATTCCCGGCAGAACGATCCACAGCGCGAGAAAATTCATCGATCAAAGTCGTAGGTAGGATCTAGCGGTTCCGACGATCGAGTCACAAAAATGCGTCGAGTATCATTTTATAACTGCGGACAAATTGATTACAAATCCTCGTTTTAGACTATTACCGGTAGCTTTTTATAAGCGAATCGAATCGATGTAACAAATTGAAAGTAATCGATCGCGATAGGCGAAATTTTTTACGTTTGATCGATGATGCATGCCCTTCGGAGACGCAGTCTCGTCGGGGCAGATCCTCGAGCGAGATCCACGACGGAATAGAGAGAGAAAAGAAATTATTTTAAGAAATTTAACAACATTACGGCACCGCGTTCGTGCGAGGCTTCAATTCGCGTACGAAGATGGCACGATTCTGCGTACGGTTCCTCATATCAGACTGTTTGGTAAGTGTCGCGAAAGTCTCAGGAATCAGCTAGACGTATCCTTTTTGGGTTGCCAAGGTTAGATGGTTTCAAAGTCTATCCATACCGTGTCAGGTATCTTCCTGTTGTATTCGATGGGTTCATCGTTTCAAATGTTTAGCGTTGTACGGATGTCCTCGGCTTGTATGCGGCCATAATCGCGTATGCACGGAATGAGCCTAACTGTACAGGCTTCACGCTCCAAATTAACCCCTTTGCGGATCAAGTTTTCGAATCCGGCTGACTCAAAACGCGACCAATTGGTACCTTCAACGTTACATAAGTATAGTATTTCAAATAAAATTTTAATTAATTTTCAAGTAAGAACTTTACATCAGATTTTTATTTTTACTAACGAAATCAATTTGTAAAAAGACTGTACCTGCAAACGGGGTAATATGGAGATCAATACCTGTCGTTATATCTTCAAGATAATATTGTCAAAGGCTTGATGAAGTTCTTATGACAAAAAAGAGTCCAAACACGACCCCGTTCCAATTAATATACATTCAAGTATATTAAATTTGGAAAAATTTATCTTTATTTAAATTGCGGATAAAGAATAATTAAAAGTCCAAACGAGATGATGCCCTCGTGAAGATATAACGATAACTATGAGGAGGAATGTTTATTTTCAAAAATGATTAAATAGAAGTTGCGAGATCGAGAGTCTTGTTGCTTCTAAGCGGGGACGAATTGGTGGCATAGAAGCGAGGATCACCGTATCTATCACGATCGTATATAATCGTTGCATAGTTGGAGTTAATCCGGAATCGATCGCGTAAAAACGAAAGGAAGCGGTCGGTTTCGCGTTAACCGATGCGATCGGTTCTATAGACTTGTATCCTCGAGAAGCGATAGACGTTTTTACCAATTTACGAATGTCCGCGAGCGTCGTTGTTCATTAAACTGAACGTAATTAACAAGTTCCAGTGTATTCGGTTTCTTATTGCACAAAGAACGTTGAAAGGTACGAGCATATATCGTCCCGGTTGCTCGATCGTTAGTTTCTCAGCGACCAAAATCCAACGTACGATAGACTTTGAATAACGAATCATTCGTGTCGAAACGACGAATCCTAATTCGCGAGAGAAAGAGCGAACACCGTGATCGCTCGGAAGTGTTGCTCGGTGAATCGATCTGTGATTGTAATTTTCCCTGTATAAAGTAGCGTTTCAAACAAAAAAATTCCGAAGCCTCGTGCGACCTCGACACGCTTTCCTTAATATAAGTAGAAGTAAAATTGCTGTGCCCGTGCGCTCGACCGTAATGAATATTTCAAGCATACCGAATTACGGGGACAAAACGGCTTCGATGCTCGAAAACTTAAAACACGAACGGTATTTTCGATTACGCTGGCCCGTTGAAGAAAGTTGCGTTTCAAGCACCGTGTGTCCGACAAAAAAATTTGCTTGCAACTTTTCTCAACGCCCTACAGAACAAAAACACAAGAAAAATACAAAAAAATGAAAAATAACATTAAAGCGACGAACGTAGAAAATTTCAGGCTCCAGCTTCTCTTATTCGGAGCGAAACAATTCCTTATCGGTACAAAAAAAAAAAAAAAACCTGCGTACCCACGGACAGAATTCGCCAAACGAAATTCACGACGGTGGCGAGGAAGAAAAAAAAAAATTCGTTTCTAGTCGTAGCGATCGGTCCAGCGTGCGAGCCAATGATAATAATATTAATAGAGACGATCATACGATTAATATTATTATTAGTTACAGAATACACGTGTACGATATGAACATACCGCGCGCAAATAGGAAACCCGGTCGGCCTGGCTTGGTCGTCGAAAGAACCATTTCTAGGGACTATAAGACGTAGCTATTATTTGTAGCATTTTTTCTACGTTTCGTAGATGCGACTCGTCGGCAACGTGCGAAGAGAAAAAACAGGTTTGAAAGCTCGTAGCCGGGTCGACCGTGAGGTTCCTCGAAGGCCCTCGACGCCCCTCCTTTATTTTCGATTTTCGACATTTCCGGGGGCCAGCTGTGATATTTTCCCCACTCCGTGTACGTTCTGATCGTAAATACGAAACTCGAAAGGGGTACACTCGGACGAACACTTTTTTAACGGAATCAAGCTCAAATAACCTTTGTTTCGTAAAAATCGACAGTCAGAAATCGTCGATGTTTTAGGATTTCTCGGTCCTTAAATTTCTCCTGCGTTTTGCGAAAAGAATGAGTTAATTTTCTTTCCGTCTTACGTGATAAAGAAAAAATTAAACCTTTTCTCAACAATTAATAACTCGGAAACAAACCTTTCGTCGTATTTTGGCACGTAGAATCACTTTTTAAAAATTTACTCACCTACGAATGATTCCGTATCCGCCGTCCGTCAGTAGGCGCCATCTTTCGGAAGTCAAAGGGTTAAGGAAGTAGGCACGACCTGAACCAGATCGTTCAATGACGGACACCAGTGAAAAATGCTCGTCCGGATCCGTGATCCCTTCTTGTTAGGTCTAGGCGAAACTAGGTTGTCGTTAATGGGACACGCCGAAACTCCCCGAATTCCATTGATGTTTTGCCACTTACGCGTTTAGAGGAGCGAATAAATTTGCTTCGAACCGTTCGATTTGATTGCAGGCATAGTGGCAAGAATAACGTAATAGCACCGTTAATTGTTTGTCATTGAATCTGTGAGGGATAAATTTTACTACCGTTAATACGTTACAGTTTATTAATTTTAAACGTTCTGATCGAGATCCTTCCGGTTTTCAGCACAAACTGTTAGACCGACACGAATATGTCGTCGATCTAACTTATAAGTCAATTTTTAATTTTACGAGTCTCGACAAATTTTACGTCCGTTAACCGTCTACGAAAACAATCATTTCTTTTTACTAGCAACAACGTTCTTGTCAATGTGCACCGCGAACGTAACGTACATCAATTTTTAATTAGTCTATACGAAACTACTCACCTCGAAATTCACTTGTTTGCTCGTGATTCCAAAATATTCGAGAGACATGATAATAACGTCGAACACGTACGAAGAACTTTCGTGAAATAATGTACGACAAATTATTGCCCCTTGAATGGGAAGTATCGTGTCTTGTAACACAATATGTCGAGCATGATTACCTTGACCGCCTCATGGTAACAAAATGACACGATGCGACGAAATTCCACAATTCATATTCTTAATTCCATTTTACATCGTTAACCTGCGACAAATCCGACCAAATGAAACAATCGATAGTTTAAACGTGCGAGACAATTACGTTACGCATTACGTACCGATAGAAACAAACAAAAAAAAATTGAACTTAATTTCTACAAAATCGTTCTAACCTGTCGAACCTTTGTTTCGCCATCTTTAGCTGTAACAGTAATTGTAAACTTACCCGAGCCAGGTTCCGTCGTTATTTCGTACACTTTCTTACGCCGTGTGTAAGCTCGAATGGAATTCGCGAGTACAATCCAAGGAGAAGTGGCTGTTACGAGGGACAAATTTTTCTGATCGTACGATTCGAAATGATAATGGGCACTGAATTTAATAGAACAGAATGCATATTATTGGCACGATGCGTGTCGCGTCCTGTGGCTTGGAACAATAGGAACCGGTCGACAAAAATTCATTGTAGTTCCTGTGTTTTAAACTAGATAGCGGAGGTGGTTAGTGGCGCTGCAACGATCGAAGCGTTTTCCCTCCATTTTCCCCGCAGCTTCCCTCCATTAAAAATTGTAACGCGTGCGGTGCACTCGTCGCTTCGATTTCTCGTTCACATTAAGTCAATTATAATTACAGGTATGATAAAAACTATAACTTATCGTGTCGCATCGTTAACTCTGCTAGATAATCGATGAAATTTTGTCCATTACAGTATCAAATATCAAATGCAGAAGTAATGCGATGGATTTACAAGATTCGAGTCCGTGACCGTTGATCACGTTTTCGTTTCGTGCAAAATTCGAGATACGAATCAGACATTTTTTGATCTGTCTATAGAACATCGCATGAAAATACAGGTAAAAAATGAAAGAACATAATTATAATCAGGTTAATAACGCGTCAATAGGCACCGATTGTTCTAGTACAAAGAGATTTTTAACGATTCGTGATACGTGCATAATTCGCACAATAACCTCTCGTAACGGCCATTATACATCTATCTCCGTTGCACAGGTTTAAGTAGATCGATTTGGAATTACGCGAGCTTTGCTTTGCTCTCGATTTCCAGAGTTTGTCTCTTTCAAGTTAATTCGATGCAGAAATAATAAAATAACGACGATAGTAAACGAAAATTGATAAATTAACAAAAATAAGAAACCCAAGTTGATTGAATATATCCTTATCGACCAATTTGTGTATTACGTTGATAAAATATGTACCGATAATCGTATAAAAAAAAGTACGTTTTTTCGTAATTGCCACTTATTTCGTTAACTTCTTATTTTTGTTATTTTTGCATCGATCCTACGAATCTAATTTATTCGCACAATGCGCTGCAAATGAGTTCGCTATTTTTAACACCTTTAGGCACTTAATTTCTCGCGAGTAAAAGCCTTTTTATCGATTCCAACCTAAAAACGCTAATTGACAGCCATTGGCTTCTTTTATTCAATACGCTTCCTCGAACGTTTTCTCCTTCCTATTAAACTACTGTAACGGAAAGTCAAGAAAAGTGTCCGAACGGAAAAAAAGTAATGAAAAGGAAAGAAACAACAACGAAGTAATTACTACAATTAAATTTATACCAGCCTGCATCTAGTTTGCTAATCCTAGCGTTGTGCGAATCAGTGTCTCGCGAAATAGGCCTAAAATCCGTCTGTCAACACCTAAACAACACACTTCTTCTAACGCTTATTGTAAATATATATGATATACATATATAAATATATCCTTCCTATTTCCTCGTGCACGTTGCCTTCCGCTGCAACACAATCTTTGTCTGGAACAACACATAAACCTCAGTCCTACGACGTATGAAAGTCATAAAAGACAAAAAAAATGATTAATAAATGAAAGAAGGAATTATGTCGCGAATGCAAAAGCATCGTAAGTCTGTTGATTGTACGAAGCGATAAGAAAGAATGTTAACATGCGAAACAGTGTCTGGGAATACGTAATTTGTCTGCTCTGACAGTAGACGCCCGATTTGTGTAATTTGTATGTTCGAAGAGAAGTGAATAGATATTGGGTAACGTTAGTTTTGTGAAAACTGGAAACTGGAAATGAGTTTTGGGTAATAAATGGAAAAAACAAATACGATTTTTCAACAATGGTGTCATTTATTGCACATTCTCTTATCTACATAGTTTATACGTAGAACGCGGGGGTATCGACTGATTTTCTTAATCAAGACGAGACAACGATTAGTAAATTATTTAGGAACACGGTCAGTCCTTCGAGTCAGATTGTCCGCGAATTTTAGTTCATTTTTCCATAGACTTTATCATTCTGTTTCTTTCCTTCTTCTACGCAAAAGTTATAATTTTCGTACTTCTTTGCAGGTTTATAAATTAACGAAAATAGACGTACTCGCATGGAACACAAAGATCGAAGTAATTGGCGAAACAGGACGGAAACTTTGCAACACGCGTGACATACAGAGACAGCGGACAAAGTAATTACAAAAAATACCGTATTTATCGAACGATATCCTCGTACTCTTGGCAACAAGATATTCCGAGTTGTCGGTACTCACGAATGGTCTGTTTTCTTGCAACCATTGAAATTTGCATCCTACGCACGTCGTACGTTTACCGTACGTATCAAATGAATTTACAGTCCTGCGATCGAACGATCGTCGAACGTTAGTCCTCGATAGAGGTGCACGAACACCAAACTGTCAATCTGATAATCGTCGAACGCGACGACGTTAACAAACCACCAACAGCACAAATGTTGCACGTCGAGTTAAGGTTAGAGCACAAAAATCGGTCGTACGAACGTTGACCGCTGTTCGAATCCGACGGAATCCCGGGTCGTTGTGGAACGTAAAGATCTTGATCGTTGGATATCGTGTACACGGATCGCGGGTACGAGAGATCGGTAAAATGTCCGCGCGATGTGGAAAATCGTAACCGCCTTGACGATGTTACTCCACCGAGTGTTGAACGAGAACGAGGAGAGACGACAGGTGACTGGATAGTCGCGCCATGCGCGTTAGTCGCCTCGGCTCGGCGCCGCTCGAGCACGCTCGTGAACGCTCGGCTGCCTCCGTCGGCCAGTGGTGGGGCGAGCAGTGTATCCGTGACGTCACATAATTAGAGTAAATACAAAGTAGTCTTGATGGGACAGCGGCGTGCGCCGCACCGTGAGTCGCTGGTCCGCGCGCGTCAAACCTATATCGTTTCGATACACGCACACCGCGCTCGTGTGTAGCTCGTGTCATATCCGCGCTATGTGCCGTCAGTGTGTGTGTGCCAAAGGATCCTAGATGACTGTGGGAATAGTGAGTGACAGCCGTGCAGCAAAGAAATGGAAAAGATAGAGGTGAGCGATATTTTGTTAAAATCGTCGGGAAAAAAATATAAATTAAGAAAGTTGTACCGAGTGCCGGTGAACGGAGTACGAAGTTACGCGCGGCTTTTTCATCCCCCTCGGATATAAGTTCATCGTCGAATTTACTCCGACTCGTGTTCTCGCTACTCCGTAATGCAGAAGTGACAGCGTGGTGACGAGTGGGGGAAGGGGTAGTCGGCGGAGGGATGGGGGAGGGGGGACGATCGTGTAGTTAGACATCTGGCAACGAATGCAATTGTGTGTATCTTCGGTGTGCCCACACTATTAGACGGACTGATTACTACTCCTATCCCCACTATCCCTCCACCGTTATCATTGCGTCGTCTTTCTCTGTTTCATTTTCATTTTTCTCTGTCAACTTTGTGACTCTGCTTTTATCCGTCTTTCTCTCGCACGTTTCTTGTCTCTCCCCTCCACATTTCAGTCTCCCTGTCCCTCACTGGCTCTATTCGCCTACTCGCTCGCTCTTTCTCCGTTTACATGTCTCACTCGTTCCCCCTTGTTCCCACTTCATCTCCGCGTATTTGTCCTTTCTCTCCTTCTCGTGCTTTGGCCAGCACACTTTGTGCCTCTCTCTCTTTCTCTCTCTCCCCCTCCCTCTCGTATTCTCTCATTCTCAGTTAGTGAGGTATTTATAGATGTGCCTTAACCCGATTTAACACAGCCACCTCGACTCGCATTGTACTAACGACGATTTAATGAGAAATTACATTTTTCCCCCCACCCTTCCCGAATTCATTCGGCACCCGCGTTCCTCGACGTTACGTTTTCTATTTTTACGAAATTTCATTTCTACTTTTTCGAAAGCGTATTATCGTAGTGGAAACGCAGTAACGAAGGAGAATCGAAGGGAATAACACAACAGGCACTGTTTCGTGCACGCGTCTGCAAGACTCGAATCGATAAGTGCTTCCGTTATTATTAGGATGAAATATTATGGTACACCGGTGAATAAATAGAGCGTCGTCCGTTTAAAGGAAAATTTTAAGAGCGTGCGCGTCGGTTTTTCCTTCCAGTGAAAAAGAAAATATATATATATATTTTGAAGTGTTTCGTGGAAATGGATTGTGTACGATCGGTCAAGGGTTTTCACTCAGACTTTTATTATCGTCGGTTCCTACTTTGTTTCTGTTCATTTTTGTGCCTCGTTTGTTTACGCCTCGCGCTAACGATTGAACGTTATTTATTTACCGCTCGAAAGGCAGCAATGATTGGTCCGTACTTTCGTACGATTCAATTACCGATTCGTTTGGTGAAACTTTTCTCCTTCGTTATTTCGTTCCCTCCCCTCTTTACATATTGAAAATGTACATTTGAGAATTAAATCGATAACGCGAGGTCGCGAGTCACGGCTGGTAATTATTGTATCAGAACCGAAGCGGTGAGCGTCATTTTTGTTATCTTAACTCGACAGTGTATGTACATAATACGCGAGCGATGCGCTCTCTATTGTCTTTTCGTCGTAACGAGGAAACAAACTCGTGTAGTTTTTCGACGCGTTTCTCTCCCCACCGCCCCTTCTCCCCGGGTTCCCCCACCCTTGGAAATGGCGACTTGAAATATTCTCTCTGGATTTTTCCGAATAAAGTATGCGCTTCCAACGAGCTGTTTAACGCCCTTGGAAATTTCTCTTTTCATTTTTCTTTCGTCGTAGACGTTGGGAACGGGAAATAGAAACTGTAAGATATGCTTACTGGCAGATGCAATAATAATCAGTGCGCCAACGAAAATTCCCATCCCTCTGCGACCTGTACTCGCGAGCGTCTATGACGTAATAAAATTATATATTTATACGAGGCGAAGCTATTTACAGTATGATAAGTGAGACACGGTGAAAATGATGTTATTCCTGAAACATTTAATATGTACTTCTAAACTGAGCTGTCGTTTTCGCTATAACTTTGATAATCGCCGAGATCCTGTAACTTCCACGACCGATTAAACATTTATTTAACATGAACGTTAATGGGTTCTTTAATTTCGAACGAGGTGGAAATTTCGATCAGTTTAAATAATTTACCTTCGATTAAATATTCAAGCATAATAAATGCGCGGACTATATTGTACGTTTAATAATTTAATTAAATTTAAATTAACAACGAACGTTCGAATTTAATCGTTCGTAGAGCAGAGGCAACGTCGTATTTTTGGTTCTATTTAATAATTCTGTTCATAGGATTAAATAATACTTGGATCGTGATTAAAATAATGCTTTGTCCTTGTGAACGCACACGTACGCGACGTTCTTGCTTTTTTTCCCGTGCGCTCGATTCAAGAGACTCGTAAAAAATGACAAAACATTTATTTTACCTTGGCTGTAATTTCCGCGAGACTCGTTGCTCCGCGTCGAACGATTCTTACCGATTTCATGCATCAAATATATACAGAGTGTTCGTCTATTATCGGTAATTTATTATATTTTTCACATTTATATAATTTACAACGATTTTGATAATTTATTCCATCGTGAAATTACCGTATTCCTGGCCCTGTTAAATTTCTTAGGTCGATAGTTTAATATTCCGCGCGTAAAAACGTTATCGTTGCGCCGTTTTCCATTTCGAAAACGGGACAGCTACATTCGAAACGCGTGCTTTAATAAAAGATCTATTTTCGAGCGGGGAAAATTACGTCATGTTTCCCGAAAGCCACAACCGGCGTCGCAATATTTACGTTTAAGGATTTCAATGTTACACAAACTCGCGCGTTATACGACATCTCTAAAGAGATTAAACGCGGAATTTAGTCGCGCGAGCCCGTAATTCACGTCGTCGATAACTCGCGCAGCCTTCGTGCGCTGTGTACGTACGACAAAAACAAAAACGCTTCTCACGGCAATCATTTTCGTCCCGGGATTTATGTAATATAATATTTCGTTCGTCGTTCTTGATTCCCAACCGTGAACACCGGAGACAGAATTTCAAATTGCCGAATGCTAATTTAAACAACAGACATATTTTATTTTTTCGTCAAAAAATATTTTTATTCGATTATCATATTTAAAAAAGATTTTAAAATCATCTGCTCGTCGTTAATAAATAGAATACCTTTGTACGAGTCGATAAAAATATTTTACGATTTCATTAATTTTTGAAAGCCAATTCGAACGACCGATACAGCTATAAACAAAAAGTATTTTATTTATGGTTGCATATCGATATAAATAACCGTAGAATGAAATAACGTTTCATTTTGGACGAATGTGATCAAGTAATGATTTAATCGACTAAACGCCGCGAACAAATGACTGTACACTGTTTGCGCTCGTCGTCTGTTATTCGAATGAAATTTTGCTCGTTTCTGAAAAGAGCCCGTACGATAATTATCCCGCCATTCAGCCGAGTATTGCTTCTTCTCTCGTTAGCGATCTTTAATAAATTTCGTGGTTAGCCGTGGACGTGTTTTCCTCGGCGTATCAAAGCGATATACAAATTCATGATAATGTAATTTTACCTCGTCGGGAAAACCGTGACTTCCTCCCTGCTTTACATTTGTAATTATAATTCGTTTCGAGGCTCGCTCGCGCAGGCGCTCGCACTCGAAGGAAAACTGTTAGTCCGAGTGTATAGAATCCTTCTTTTTTATCTCGTTATTTCCGTGTATACAGGGTGTCTTGTAATTCGCGGGACAAGTGAAATTCATGGTACGAGGAGAATTCATAGCGGGTTTAGAAGGGACCGAGATATTCGTCGGGTTATATGCCTTTCTCTTTTAAATCCTCTATCTTACCGTTAGCAACCCTCAGCACTTTAGGTTATTACTTTTATAGGGTAGGAGATCGGTGTTGCTGACCTGGTCATCGTCGTAAATAAATGTATCATGGACACCTGAATTTTATGACCTTATTCATGTTCATAAATACGGAACGAACAAAAATCGACGGTTCATACTGGCATTTGCTTAGTACGAAACTCTGGTAGCAGCCACGTGTACACGGCCTGTATTATCCATTAGGCAAGAACAGGCTAGAACGGACCGAACTTCTGCGTCCGAAATTTACGATTAAACAGTTTAATTAACGTTCATTTCAATTAATTCTAAATTAACTCGATCGATTAATCTTCACGAGTACTATTTACAGAAATAAATTATATTTTTTACCTTCTACGATGCAGACGATACGGAGCAGAGAGTCACAGAAATTCGAGCCACCATATGTTTGCATAATTTTTTTCGACCAAAGCTTAGGGGTCGAGGGTCTTATTCTTTCGCGTTTCCCTAGCATTCTAAAGCCCCCCTAGAGGTTGTCCCCCCTTTGGGAATCTCTGGTCCAGGGGTCTGCGAAGCTTTTGAAGGCTCGCCGGTACTTAAATTTCAATGTATAATATTTGTTTTTTCGAATATAGTTTCGTGTTTTTCTTTTTTTAAAATTAATAGTTAATAGTTTGGTGGTTCGAGCGGGAGAAGCCAGCTTCGAAATGAAATTTCCGATTGTCGGGTTACCGGGCTGGCCGAGAAATCTCCTCTTACGCGATCGTAGCATGAATTACAGGACGCACACTGCATTTGTTTGTTCCCTCGTTAATTCACTCGGTAATCGGCCGTGCATAGGATATTTCGTTACATGTGGTCGCATACTCGCCGTGTTTACACGTCCGTTCTCTCTTTTTCTCTCGAGCTCGGTTGTGTATCTTCGCGCGGAGATCCGTGCGCGTGACACACACGGTGCGCGCGCACACAGGCGTACAGTTCGAGTCAAATTCAACGAACCGAGCGGGACAGGTGCTTCACCGGACAATAGGCGATAGTGGCGCGCGCGGGCCTTTGAAAATGCACTTGAATCGGAATAATGATCGCGACGTTAAGCACACTTTCAGTTACCCGCGTAAAACAACCCCCGGGAGCGCGCGCGCGCGCCCGCACACGCCAATGCTGCACAAAAACCAGATAAATTTTACGATCTTTCAACGGCAAAGGAAATTAGCCGATAATTCATACGAGAGCGCGCGCACGCGCGAGGGCTGCTCCTG